TAAATGTACGCAATGGTGTTTGTTCATTGTTGAAGGCCTTACGGTGCCCTATAGTTGCTTACATACACGTCATTTGGACCCTTGTGGATAATTGTCTCATTGGCAACCATGACACATCTTCTCATTTTTATATATATAAAGTCAACATACGGTCTTCAAAAATAGATAGGGAGTCTGTAAATTATGCCAAGCGCTAAACCGCCCTAGTCAAAGATTTGTATATAAATTTGAAAAAAGGCTATCAAAGATCTGATATGGCATACTTACTTTGTATATGAATAATAGGACAAGACAAGACAAGACAATTTATTACAACTTAGGCACACGTATGGTGCTACAAGAGGATAACAATTATAAATTAACAATTACATAATTATACATTTGCAAGCAAGACAAACAATAAATAAATTAGCGATATCATACAGTAGAATTGAAATATACAATATTTAGGAGAACGGCGTGGAATGCACACCAATGAGACAGCAAACTAATGGCAAAAATAACCAAAAGACATCTAGAAAATAGATCATAAAAGACAGACACGTGACTATGTCAAGCTCTGACTGATCACAAGTATGAATAAGTTATTAATAAATTAAACAGAAACCATTTGCGTTCCAACTAAATAATCAATTATATTTTTTTACAAGAACCTAACGATGTTAATAAACAGCTATATGCATCCAATGTACAAAATGACTATTGAAAACCGTATTATTGTCTTGATTATTACCCACTTTTTATTTTTGTTTCATTTTTTTTTTCAATTTAGTATCTGTAAAAAGGAACAAAATTATATAGTAGTATTATATTGAATTGTGTTTTTTCTCAGATTAAAATTTTACTTTGATGATTCATTTCCTATAGTAAAATTTTGAATTGTCGAAATTATGATTAATTTAATATATGTAAAACTTTTTTTTTTACCTATTTAGGTCGGAGTTATGCCACTTTGTCCGACGAACATCACTTTTATAAACTGAACCAGATCATGGAATATCGTATAACAAATGTTTTATTTTTGTCATTTACAAAACATAAAAAAAAACGTTAGTCCAAAATACACAATTAAGCACAAAGAATGAATTATACTTCTTTTGCGAGCAACATAGGGAAATATCTAAAAATACCCCAATAACATGCACATCGGTAAAAAAGTTAGATACAAAATGTTCTTTTGACGAAAAAGCTAGACTATTAAAAATATTTGCAATCAAGATCGAGCATCACAAACTATGACGCTTTGGTAATAAGAAAGTCGGACCAAAATTGAACAATAAGTGTGGTTCTGAATACTCTATCTTACTAAGTTGGAGTCCTACTCTAAACCTTTTTTCGACATTTTTTCAATATATATGGTCTATAAAAATATCAAAATAAAAAATATCCCTACCTTATAACCATATTTTCTGAAAAAATTTAACCAGAACACATACTATATATTATTTAATATAAAAAAGAATAGTATGATTGCCAATGAGACAACTCTCCACAAGAGACCAAATGACACAGAAATTAACAACTATAGATCACCGTACGGCCTTCAACAATGAGCAAAGCCCATACCAGGAAGTGTTGCCGGACGCCAACAGAGCTTTTGTATTGTTCCATAGTTAAATCGAGTGACCAAGTAATAGATCCGGAGCTGTTTTTGAAATCAGATAATACCTTTATTATATGATGTTCCATACGGCGACTACTCTCAGATGGCGATCCTACATATTATGTAGTTAGAATCACATTTACTCAGGATGACTTATAAATATGATTTGCAAGGTGATTCTATTTTTGCCATGAAGCTATCAGCTATGTTAATAACATTAATGATTTTTTTTTAAATATGAAGATGCCAAAATATTTTAACACACAATATCAACATAGAGAATCATTTTTTTGCAAAATACAAAGTCGTTATGTGTTATGTTCGCAACCCCGGCACTGTCGATTGCCAATAAATAATTATACGGGCAAGTAACAGAAAACTGTAGTTACTGTATTGATCTTTGTAATGTTCCTTTAGATACTTTCTGTTTGAGTGGAGCGGCAAACATGAAAATAATAGCAAAATAGTTAATTAAAATCTACAAGAATGAAATTTTACACAGTCATAAAAACTTCATATATAACGGATTCTAAAACCACCATTGGCCACTGTGATTTCAGCTATTTTCAAGATGGCCGCCACATAGTAATATGACAGCTTACTCACAAATAGATTCGTCTTGTTCTATCAATATCATGTCATCGGACATCAAAAGTTGACTGTATTTTAAGAAATATGGTCATTTGGACTTTCCCATTCCAACCGCACCAAAAAAACCCTAAAAAGGGGCGTCCGTTTGATCTGGGACATAATATATTGACGTTAGTATAATAGTCCCAGGTTTCGTGCTTCGGGATGTAAAAATACGCAGCCACGGCCGGTCTGAATAGGGGTGTCACTTTTCAACAAATCATATGAAATATCCCCCCCCCCCCCCCCCCATTATCCAGGCCTTCCCTTCCATTCAGAATCACAATTTGTATTAATTGATAATTTGTTATCGGCCTAAATATGATTTAAATACTTCAAATTAAAAGTAAGGTCTAATAAACATGTCATAAAATAACCAAGAAACACTGGTGCAATTTACTGTTCTGTAACTCGATATCGTTCTTTAAGTGAAGTTTCAACCCTTACAGTTTAAATAAGTGGTAATAATTGCAATATTTCAATAATTGATTCCAGTTTTTTGTATTTTTTAGGGAAAATTATTGTCAATTCGTTTTGTTAAATTCAATTGGTTTTGTGTTGTTGTTTTTTTAAATAGCATTTTCATGTATTGGAAGTTATTTCAATTGTTTACTTTTGAAATGTCGAAAAGGATTCGTTTGTCAGTTTCTTCTGATGAAAAACAGAGGACTGATTGGTTGAAGTGATTTTTATGTCAGGATGACAAAAATGAAGCGCTGAAAACAACGCTAAAACCGATATATTTGTCAAAGTCGGGATATAGGATTCTTTTCAACAATATTCCAGTGTTCCAGAAAAGGTATGAAATGCCAATGCCTTTGGGAATGGAATCGTAAGCACTTTGACAAAAAATGGAGCAATCACGAATCTTGTAGGTTGATGTTCAATAACACTAAACTTGAGAGGGTAAGAAAGAGACGATGATCCACTGAAGAGTCTACCTCTGACCAAGGTGTGTTGTCCTAATTTTACCAGGAGACTCCTATTGTGGTATCAGACAAAGACGTAGAATTTTTAGAAGGTTTCATTGTCGAAAGACAAGCATCTCGTTCAGAATTGAGGGAAGCCATGGCCATGCAATTGAACTCTAAACTCATCAGTGACCACAAACATTGCAAGATGAAAATCTGTTGGTATAATTGAGTGCAGGAAATGTTGCACAATAACTGAAATATCAAGCGAGATGCCTGACTAAGAAAGGGCTGAATTAAACAAAATAAAAAAAAAGATGAGCAAGAACTATCTGAGGGTGAAATCGACCTTATTGTTTTTGCTGAACTTGCTATACACATAGTTGAAACACAACGGGGCAGTCTTACAGTACTTTTTTGCCAGTCTCGTCGAAGTTAGTGGGCTCAAAGCAAAGAAAAACACAGTTTTGAAATTCAGAACACCAATTTGAAAGTCAAATTGAGAGACGATCGTTATTACTAGAAACATTAAACCGTATTTTTTAGACGGTAAATGAGTTTATTATATACTTAGTAGTAAATAAAGATAAATTGTAAGTGTAATACAATCAATAGCAATCGTGCTGTATTAGGCATCCGTGATGATATCGATATCAGTCACGGTTGCAAAGGCGTTATCACAACCTTATCTGTATGACGTCACGTCATCAATATCAGTCACGGTTGCAAAGGTTTATCAAATACCTAATTTGTATTACGTCTGAGTCTGCGCTAAGTATAGATATATTGAGAATTTTGTCACGGTGTTGTTTACAAAGCGAAAGAAGCACGTCATATTAGAATACTTAATTTGTATTACGTCATGTCACGTGAACAATGTCTACTTGAGGTTCAAATGTATAATAAAGTGTATATGATACGGTTTTTTTTTTCAATATCACACACCGTATCAACCCTCTTGGGATTATATTGGTGTCTCGGGTTGATACAGGTGTGATATTGAAAAATTCATATGTTGATATTCTCTATTTCATCGGTCGTCCCACTTCCTGTATCACTCTGCTCAGTTCTTATTATAAAATTGCATATCGATCACGGCTTTGTGACGTCAAATACGTTGACCCGGCATTAATAACTTTGACCCGGATATATCATCGACGTCATAATGAATCAGAACCGACGTTGATAAGTTTGACCCGAACTTGTGTTCACTCGACAAAAAGCTTCACATTGTGACTTGCAGCTGATATTTTACAATATCAGTATGCAGACAACCAGATAATTGGTACAAACAAATAATTGTTGGTTAGGGCGAAACTTGTTTTCTGTTGAAGCAGGCATTCTTGAGACCACTGAAACATAACGTATGGTATTTCCCTCGACATATCCTTAATAATGACTTTGATTGATGTTATTCAATGATACACAAACTAACACTGTTCAGTGTCTTCTTATTTTATGAGAATGGAAACGGGGAATGTGCCAAAGAGACAACAACCCGACCATAGTTTATTTTTTCGATCGTCCTGTACATTCATGAAATATTTGCATCGATCTGGATGTTAATCAATAAAAAATTCAATTTGTCAATTTAATTTTATCTATTCCTTTTATCTGAGTTTATCTTGTATTTTGCAGTATTTTTTGAAGTTCCAGGAAAACCCTTTTCTATGACGTACTGATAAGAGGATATTACACCTTTTACTTTGTTCATTTGAACAAAATATATTTCACGCAGAGTGAAATGCGTCATCGTTCTTCCCGTTGTTATCAATAAAAGAATTTTGTAATCTAAGGTAGATATATACCCTCAATGATTACTATGAATTATACCTCATGATAAACATACAACAATTTAGTAATTTATTAATACAATTTATACAATTTCGGAGAATGGTATTAAAACTAAAACTAATAAAGTAAAAGCTTGGAGCAAGATTTTGATCAATACAATTTAATAAAATTGAGAATGGAAATGGGGAATGTGTCAAAGAGACAACAACCCGACCATAGAGCAGACAACAGCCGAAGGCCACCAATGGGTCTTCAATGCAGCCAGCGAGAAACTCCCGCACCCGGAGGCGTCCTTCAGCTGGCCCCTAAACAAATAAGTATACTAGTTCAGTGATAGTGGACGTCATACTAAACTCCAAATTATACACAGGAAACTAAAATTAAAAATGATACAAGACTAACAAAGGCCAGAGGCTCCTGACTTGGGACAGGCGCAAAAATGCGGCGGGGTTAAACATGTTTTTTGAGATCTCAACCCTCCCCTATACCTCTAGCCAATGTAGAAAAAACAAACGCACAACAGTACGCACAGTAAAACTCAGTAAGAGAAGTCCGAGTCCGATGTCAGAATAGGAAACAAAAGAAAATAAACAAAATGACAATAATACATAAATAACAACAGACTACTAGCAGTTACTGACATGCCAGCTCCAGACCTCAATTAAACTTATTGAAAGATTATGTCTTCATCATATGAATATCAGGCACAATCCCTCCTGTTAGGGGTTTAGTATTATACCGTCATAAAATATATGAGAAGAACATAACCCGTGTCATTCAATTTTTAGGCATGGTGTATACATTTAGAGTTGCAAATTCTTTCAGTTATATATATGTACTTTCAAATATCATTAAATTCTTTTACAAAACAAAATAATCGTATAAGTATATGTACTGATGGATTTCCCCAGTAAGAAGGTTTTATACTCTTCAAACGTATATACATTCATACATTCCAAAATAGAATGGTATTCATCTTCTACAGAATTATAGTCACACATATAACATATTGAAGTGTTCCTGTTTATTTTTAAAAAAATAACACTTCCAGTTTCAGTGATTAAGTATGTAAACGACGCGTGCTGATATATATCTAAATTACATGTCATCTGAGATAAAACTGCACCATGACTATCAAACATGTATTTGTAAAACTGACATCTAGAAGACTCCAAACAAATGGCATTGCTTAAGATATAAACATATCCATAACGCGCTGTTTGAATCTATAGATACAACATCTTCATTTATAACTTTGTGTGTCAACAATACATGCATTAAGCCACAATTACTCAATACTTCTCTTATTTTACATGACCAATTCAATTAATCTTTGATTTTAACATAACAAGCTTCTAATATACATTCTTCAGAATACAATTGTAGTTTTTTTAACAATTTACACCAATATGTCATTATTTTACAATATTTGTAAATACAGCCTAGGCCTCTCCCAAGTTCAAAATACACCTTTACTATGATGTATGATCACTTGAACTAAGAGTACCATATGATTTGTACTCTTTTTGACTTTCAAAATTCCCTTTAAAAGTGTAAATTGGTTTTTACTGTCCTAAAGATCTGCTATTCCCACAAATTACTACCATATTTCAATATACTTGAAACATATCAAATGTAGAAAAAAAAGTGTCTCTGTATTATAGAATTTGTCATGAATTTTACTTAATAAACAAAATACAGCTTTCATTTTTCTTGAATTAATAACATTTTCTTAGTATCAGTAAGAATACCATTTTAATTCAACAATATTCAAAGATATATATGAATTCATCACATAACTCAATACACTTTCCAATAATAAAACACTTCTCTTCTGTTTGATAATGCATCTATGATTTCTAAATACAATCAATCTTAGTTTCAAACATATTGATATGCAAAACATACTCTACTTAACACATGTATACATCTTCTATCATTTTTTTAAGATCATTTATATTTTCGCTTTAAATTACAGACTCGTCACAATACATAAAATGATCGCATCATTGCCAACCTTGTTTTATTAATTCTATTGCAATGTCATTGGCATACATAGTCTATCTATATAGACATGTATATATAAGGTGATAAAGACTCCCAATATCACAAATAAAAAACTAAGAAACATTTAATTCATATTTAACACATGATTTTATCGGATTATTCATTGATTTTATTGAATTTGACAAATTAAAGTTATACCACATTACGGTAATTTCATCCAGAATTTAGAATATTTAACGCCATCAAAATCATTTTTCTAACTAATAACAAAAATCTCCGTTTTCGGAAAGATGTTGACAACGCGAGGCGAAAGATACCAAACGAATATTCAAACCAAGTGGAAGACAAATCACAACGCCTTTGCAAAAAATGAAAAACGACCAAAAGACAAACAACAATCTACAAAACACAACATAGAAAACTAAAGACCAAACAACACGAACCCCGCCAAATCTGGGGAGATCTTAGGTGATAACATCTTAACTGATTAAATGTGCCAAAAAAGCAATTTTAACTACAAAATAAGCTACAACTGTAAGCTTTGTCATAGTTTTGTTAGTAATTGATTATCCTCGTACAGACTGACGTCATATTTGATCACTTGAACTGTTCTGTCATCAAATCCTATCCAAATATTATCAAAGTAATCAACAGCAAAGCTACATGGTTTTTGCTTGTGTCGAATTATGTTCAAAAGTTCTCCTCGGTTATTTATCAGATGCTGACGAAATCTAACTCGATCCATAACTGTAATATTACCATCACTAAGAAATGCAGCCCCAATGAAAGAGTGCGATACGGCCTCTTGCTTCGATTCATTTGAAGGGTATCTCATCTTAGGTGCCCCATTTTTATCAAGCAGTACTACCCACGACGATTTTTGTTCTGGAGAACAAGTAATACAAATATCACCAGATGAACTTTCAGCGATAGACACAGGATTTGCTATTGCAACTTTAAAGTATGGAATACAGATTTCTTTGGTAATTTTTTCTGACGATGTCCAACGTATGATTGTATGGTTTTCTGTGGTAATCTCGGAACTCTCTGGTTTTGGACAGAAGACCATACATGCTATGATATCTGCATTTGAGGACAATGCAGGCGTGCAAATTGTTATCATGTACTTAGGTTTGATTTTGCTGTGAGTTACTAGTTTGTAAAATTTCCTTCTACGATTAATTGTACCATTGTTAACTTGGAGCTTTTTCAAAGACCCTTTGTTCTTTAAACCTACCAACAAGTAATGTGCTTTACTTCTAGCAGCTGTGACGGGCTGTTCTTCTACTGATGAAATAAGTTGTGTTAAAATTGGTTCCGACGTACTAAGATTTATTTCACAAATGTCTTTTCCTATTAACCACGCGTGAAATTGGTTGCCTTTCGGAATGATGTAAGAAATGTCTTTTTCGCAAAGAACTCTTTTTACTATTACATGATTGAATTTTGAATTGTTGTTTGTGGGCTCTGTCGAGTGTTCATCAAAGTCGCTAGCCTTTTCATCTTCATCAGTGCTCTGTATGCAACTAGAAATGTCTACTAAGTTGCCGTTTCTGTCCGTTTTTTCACTCCCCACATCCAACATTCCTTTGTCTTGGTGGCCGTCCAGTCTGTAGTTTTCAAAGTGACCAAAAAGTCTACGATAGTACTTAGTGGTTGAATATCTCTCACTGATTGCAAAATTTAGTGGTTCAAATTTAGGAACAATTTCTGATGAACAGTTGTATTGAATTATTTCAGTAAGCTGGGAGTGGTATGCTGCAACAGAATCAGATGTTAAGTCAACTTCTCCCTGTTGAACACATTTTATAATGTGTTCAATAAAGGTTTGACGATCAGTATTCAAACGTATGAATCCGTCGAAAATCTTGTTTGCCTCGATTTCATATTTTTTTAAGATATTCGTTAATTCGTCTTCTATAATATCAAAATGTTTTCTTATAATTTCTCTTCTAGAGCGAATTAAATCCATTTGTTCTTTAACTGACTCATTATAACACTGTTGAACATCTTTTGCAAGTTTCAAAGCTGTTTTGATTTTTGGAAGTTTGGTATCCTTTACCGTAATTGTTTTCTCTCGTAATGCATGAAGTTGTTTATCACCATATGTTTTTAGTTTTGTCTTGCTACACTTGCTGTGTTTTCGATCCCCGATTATGCAGTCATCGCATATAAATACTTTGCAATCTTCGCAGTAAAATCGAACGTCCTCTGTCTGGTGATCTCTACAGACATCTTGTAGTGTATAATTTTCATATTCGCTGCAGCACTCTGAAATAGAATATAGCTATATGAATCTTACTAAAGAAACTGACTGTGTAATATACGTCAAAGGCACCGTGTACCACTGACACACACATACGGCACCAAAAGGCTAATACACAGTCTTCGAATTTAATAATAGACAATTGTCTATGTCAAGCTATGAATTGCTTTTATGCTGTTCAAAGTAAGGACCCATTTGAGAAATTCATCTTTCGTCTTTGTAAAGGGAGTCTCTGCCTCAATGTAAATGATTTTTGCGCCAAACAAAACGTAAAAAAATAGTGACGGTCTCAAACTATGAATAAAAGGATATTTGGGAAAGACTCAGCAGCATATAGATAGAAATAACCAAAAGAAATCTATAGAAGTTGAATCCTATTAAACACCATATTCAATCTTATTATGTTCTGGGGCATTTAAAAAGTCTTGTACTGAAATTTCAGAATTTTGTCATTATATTTCACAATTGATATGAATTAGAAACAGCCAATTAGTGTGAATTTTACTGCCTGGTAGGAAGAAGGCCAGGTGAGCATATTTGTATGACCAAGTCAATCCGGCGTCCTTTATATAAAGGCAAAAAGTAGTTTTCTGCATTTGATCTTTGATCTTTGATTACCTGAATACCATAAAGTATCTGTGTAAATTTACCAATATCTGGTAGTAGATCTGACATTTAACTTAAAATTTGATTCTTTTTAAGTTCAATTGTCTTAATAAGATAAAAAAAAAAAAGTAGGTCAACTAGTTGGAACAAACTAAAACTAAAATATTTATAACAACACATTACAAAACTATTTACAAAAATAAAGTCATGTATTTACAGTGATAAGCTGTGAAGATTATCCTTATCTTGTCAATACATTTGTATGAAAGCATTCGCACCAATATTATTCAAGTGGTTTTCAATTGTATCATTTTATCAAAGTTTTGAAATATTTTTAATTTTTCAAGATTTTTTTTCATCAAATTTTGTCTCTCTTTCCTTTTTTTTATTTATCCTGTATCTCCTAGATTTTAGAAATAACAATTTTTATTGATGATTTGTAAAAAAGAATTAAAGCAGAGTAAAATAATTCAATTCGGTTCTTATTGGTCCTTTGGTCCAGAGGAAAAGATATCCAAAGTAGTCGGTGAATGGGAGACATAAGGCGCCAAGTGATGACAATGGTACGTGAATGTTAACTAAAGGGTACTTATCGGGAGAATGAGTACTATAGTGTATTATAATGGGTTAGTTACTTACCTGCCATCGTTTTACCATAGCCGAAAAAATAATCAAAATATGATGATAATCAGATATCAGTATTTTCCACCAGTTGATCACTAAAACACAATCAAACAATCAGTCAATTAAGCAATCCTTTTGAGTATCAAATAATAAGTTTAAATGAAAATAACACTTTGTGAAATTCGTTCATCCGAAGGGCTTTTCTTGATTTACCTTCATCACGAACGCTCTTACCTTAGATTTGAAAACCAGTGATGTATTTATACATAAAAACGTTATGAGCTATATGAACAAAAGGGACATTAAAAGAATAGCCAAATTCATCCAATGTCAACTTTGCTTCATGTTGTCAATATTGGCTATTACGAACCTTCATTTAGTATGTAGGGTCTTGATTTTGATTTTGTTTTCCTCTAAAGTATGACAGGACTTATTTGTGAGTATGTTCGGTCATAAATGGTTGGAGAAAAACTTACCTTGCGCAATGCCAAAATATAAGAATCGTCAGGATGTAGGGCCGTAAGTGTTCATAACTGTATAGAAATGCTTATTAAGTAATGTTTTGATTTATAATAACACTATCAATGTTGATACCGATGAAAACAATATTCAAATTTGTCATTACCATGCTATATTGATAACCTTTAGAGTAAGTTTATTCAAATAATCGATCATTTAACACGGATCGTATATAAATTTACGGATCTATACACAATATCAATACCAATTTTCAAGTCGTTTGTTTGACATTTACAGGGATCGAATCTAAATCCCCGCATTCGAGGCGAGCACGAGCCCACCGACGCGGTCCAATAACATATATCGCAATTACCAAAGAAGCTAAAGTTGTGTTCGCTGTCAACATAACTCTATATGGCATATATTCATTAAATTGTTCCAATCTCCAAGAAAGCTTAAAATTTGTAATCTTATTATTAAAAATAATAATTATGATAATATAATGACAAAAAAAGATAACTGATGGGAGTTCTGCAGGGCGGACTTATCCAGTTATCATATATTTAGACATCTTTCGGGGTACACATTGCTCTCCATAATAGAAGGCACACTGGAAAAGATAAATTTGTATCTTTCTTAAAATAAATTCATTTGTAGAAAATAATATCAGATGTAATCAAGTATTTTGTATATCTTATTAATATCATTATAATCACATTTTATACTTATTAGAATTGGTGTATTTTACAATTAATCGTGAGATTTGAATACTTTGCAATTTCCTGTGTCATTTACATTGTATTGTAATGTGTTTAAACCTATATCTATATTAAAGGTACTTACATTCACATATCACTTCTTCAGTGTCTAACACAAAACAGAAGTGTTACCTGTCTGATAGGATATCTTATATACCTATAAATACTAAACTGGAAATAACGCTCTGAATCACATAATTTTTGGGAAACTCAGTGTTAGTAATTATGATAATACTATTTTTTTTAGTATTATAATTTTATAGTGCCCATTGTGAAGAACTCCTTCTTTTGCTATATAAGATTAGAGATATATATAAGAAGATGTGGTATGGGTGCCAATGAGACAACTATCCATCCAAGTCATAATGTGTAATAAAAAATAAACAATTATAGGTCAAAGTACGGCCTTCAACACGGAGCCTTGGCTCACACCGAACAGAAAGCTATAAAGGGCCCCAAAAAGACTAGTGTAAAACAATTCAAACAAGAAAACCAACGGTCTTATCTATATAAAAAAAATCGAGAAACGAGAAACACTTATGAACCACACCAACAAACGACAACCACTGAACAATCTTAGGACAGGTGCATAAAAATGCAGCGGGTTTAAACGTTTTAACAGGCGCCAACCTTCACCCTAACCTGAAACAGTGGTATAACATTACAACATAAAAAGTGAGACTTTACTTGATATTATTGCAATGAGTTACTCATAGGTTGAGCCAGTATCTCACACTAGAGCGATTTAAAAAATAAATCACAGTATTACATTTTTACGTTTGCTCTATGGTATTCTTACAACATTATGCAGTATTACTGAACATAAAGCCAATTTATGGACGCTAAATGATGACTCTAACCTACAATTTTGAATTTTTTTAGCTACTTCGAGGTGCTACAAATAAAAACGAAAGAAAAGGCCGACATTTTATTCCAAACCAAAAATATATTGGAAGTAAAGCTATTTTTTTTAATTCCAATGACGTCGTTGTACTAAATTCGTTGGAGGTATTTTGGTTTATATTATTTTTGTCTGGTGGTAATATTAATAACAAGTGGTTTGATTACTAGTTCAAATTAGGCTTAGACCGAGCTTTCAGTGCTCTTCAACTTTGTTCTTTATTTGGCCTTATAATATTTTTTGATTCCGCAGCGAGCGTCACTGATTAGTCTTTTCTAGACCAAACACACATCTGGCGTACAAAATTTTAAGCCTGGTATCTATGATGAGTTTATTTTCAGTAACTGTCAGTACTTCGTGGTGTTTTATTTTTCTTTTGCTATTTGTTTTAGTCTTGAGTACCGATAGGTTGAGTAAAAATATTTCCAGCTGATTTTTCCATATTTTTGTTGTTGATGTTGCATCACTATTCTACATAAGGGGAGATTTAAGCATTCGCAACCTTGTTAAATGTCGACATATTCTGTATGTGACTGTCGCAAGCAAGGAACCTGTAATGGTTGTTGTTGGTTGTCTTATTCGTTTGTTTTTATTTCACGGATGAAACAACGTCTGACTGTTGCTTTTTTCTTCTGGATTGCTTCACATTTTGTCAAACGAGTGCCTTTTATATCTGACTATTTTATATCTGGCTTTTGTTCATTGTTGAAGGCTTTATGGTGACCTGGAGCTATTCACATCTTTGTTCTTTGGTCTTTGGTCTTGATGAATAGTTGTCATATTGGCAAGCATACCACATCTCCATACCTCTTGTATCTATTGTATTTTCTGTCAGATACAAATTAATTACTTTTGGTCATGGAAGTCTAATTCAATGCAAAACGATATACATACATGTAAAAGTTGCACTAATGCATAGAAATTTCTTCATCAGCATCATAATGAGCATATCATTGTAGAAATCCCTTATTTTGTATACGATTATTTGCGTAAAGTCACAAACGAATTTCCACGGATTACCAATTTCAAGCTATGAACTGCAGTTTACGGTATATTATACATTAATAAACAATCAAAACGTTTATCTGTGCACTGAAATTCCCATATCGACGAGAAATATACGTTTTGCGTTTCAACTCATTTGCGCCAATGCTACGTTTGCGCGTCTAGTTTTTAAAATACATAGCATCATTTGCCTTTAAAAAAAACTTTCCTCCTCCTTTTTCCGAGCTTGGGACTGACAGTTTACACTGGTGGAATTAAAGTTATTTTAAGTCATTTAAAAGCACATTTTAAAACATTAAACTATTTACAATCAGACAACATACTCATTTTAAAGACTGATATTTGTAACTTAATACAACTATTATATAATATCTATACGAATAAGTTCTCCTCTCGTACAACTATGATACTTTTCAACAGATATTTGTATGGATGCGATGAATTTCTTTTAATTTGTGCAAATCGATAAATTATTTATTCATGTTTTTCGCGATTGTATACTTACCTTTCAATTTATTTTTTTAAGCAACAATAGTCCTCTCTATTCCATAAATTATTATTTATAAGGTACCCAAATCTATGCTAAAAATTTTTCATGCAAATGTTACAAGGAGCATGAAACTGGTGTGATTACAAGCATACAGATCATACGGTCAGAAAACAACGTTCAGTAACATAATAAACATGAGGGCTGAGATCTCACAAAACATGTTTAACCCCGCCGCATTTTTGCGCCTGTCCCAAGTCAGGAGCCTCTGGCCTTTGTTAGTCTTGTATGTTTTTTAATTTTAATTCATTTATATGTTTTGGAGTTTAGTGTGACGTCCATTTTCACTGAACTAGTACACAATTTTTTTTAGGGGCCAGCTGAGGACCACCTCCGGGTGCGGGATTTTCTTGCTGCGTTGAAGACCCATTGGTGGCCTTCGGTTGTTGTCTGCTCTTTGGTCGGGTTGTTGTCTCTTTGACATATTCCCCATTTCCATTCTCAATTTTATTGGATTTATTGATTGTTATTTGATAACGTCCAATAGAAAACAGTTTATGCATTTTCAGTACTAGAACAAATGAACTCACTTAAAACATGCCAAAATCATTATAATTTAATAATAATTTGAAGTAATAAAATGCATCCTATTTCAATACAAATTTTATTTTCTAATTGCTTATTCCCTCCCTATTGTGATATCAGGGAATTTCAAAATGTTGTGTTATATATAAGGAAAATCAAAATGTTAGGTATCAGGAATAGGTTAACCATTTCCTAAAATGGTGGCTCATTATAATCATGTATACAATCTGACCATACATTCTGTAAAACGTTTAAGTTTTTCTGTAGAAATTAAACAGGTATTCTGTGTTCATGAACAGTGACGTACCTCTAGAAATCATCAAATCAAAGTGAATATTAAAAAAAAGTTTAGATGAAAATGAATATTAGGACTTAGCATCAAATAAGTCCCGAGAGTATCACCAGCCCAGTAGACATTACTTCGGTACTGACATGAAAATACGGATATTTTTAGAATTAAATTTGCTGTTTTGAAATTTTTGAAATAGTTTTAAATTAAGGAACATATTTACCTCATGCAAAGCTCTGATTCCTTGTCTGGATTTGGCTAATCTTTATGTCCTTTTTGTTTTGATGAGCTCTTCATACTTTTTTTTATTATGTTTTGGATTTCCAAATGTTTCGGCCTCGAGCACCACTGAAGAGACATTTATTGTCGAAATGGGCATCTGGTGCATAAGCATTGGAACCGTTTATGTTACTATATGAGACTGCAATCCAAAGCCACAAAAAACAAAAGATGTACAGACCGTAACAGACATATTTGTATATTTATACGGTGTTTAAAATAAAATGTAAAAAATATTGTGAAAAAAATTCAATTATTTTAAAAACAAATATAACTGAAAACAATGACTGATGATCACTTTTCTTAGCATTTAGCTTGAGAATAACAGTTACGGTCATATGAATCTTTCGTAATGACTGATACATATGTGCATGAGTTCATCCTCTAAAAATATTTTTATTGGAAGTACACATTTGTTAACGTATCTTTAAATGTGATTTTCAAGTTCAGTGCATATCATATTTTGATCTTTTAACCCATAAACAGTTTTAAAATTAACATATATATCATTTCAAGTAACCTATATATTGCGTCAATTGTTCGTTGTACTTCCCAAAACCCAAAACGCTGTAGGCGGGTTTGTAAAGGGTTGTTTTCATGGAAAAATTAATTAACAATATTGAAAGTAGCATTAAGATTATATTTGAAATTATCTTGACAATTTTAAAAACACTTCTTGACTGTAAATTATGCCAGGTGACCATTTCTTTTTGGTAAACAAGGTCAGGACACCATATCGTATACCTAGGTGTCAATAGGGTAACACCATCGCCCTTATATTTTTTATTCATCTTTTGTCGAAAATCAGTATGAGCAGAAAGATATGGTCTCGGGCATACATGTATGACAACGACACCGTAATCAAACGACAGATTAAAACTAATAATCCTCTAGAGTTCAATATGGGGTTCTTCCAACAGTAAACATCTGCTTTTAAAGTATGCCAATGATCATTCAATTGCCCCATGTCTAAAAAAATGGGACAATGTAAAGATCTGCAATCAACACCATATTCCAAAATATACAAAAGGGAAAACAAACATTAGTTATAACAAAAGACAACCCCTGACGAGGTTCCTTAGTTTGACATGCACAGGAAGAACTAGTTTCTCGTCATATATCAACCGTCCTTTTTTCAATCTCTATCAGTAGAATGACAAATAGCATAAACAAGAACATGGAATATAAATGAGCATAGGAAAAACACTGTGGACTATAGATAACTTACTAGATAAACTTTTGAAATTGTATGTTAAATTTAGAAAGTGTTATTCTCATCTTTGATGGTACTGGGTCGATACCACTGTTGGTGGGAGTATAAATTCCCGATGGTATCATGATTTATCACATAGATTTCTTAAATTGCCCGTCAATGAATTTGGAAATTATTTAGAAATTATGGTTCCAACTTAATCGGTCAAAGTTGACCTTAGATGATTTGGTTTTCATTTTTAGGTCCCCTTTGGTCATATAGCTCGTTAAGTGTATGGGTACTTATACATCTTTGGCTTTTAATTTTTTTTTGGCTATGAGCGTTCCTGTTGAAGGTAAAATCCAGAAAAGTGCTTTGAAAGCATAATATTTATAAAGTCATTTTTTGTTAGAAAAGGTATCAACACGATTACATCTTCTTAGACGTTTGAAATTGCCATTGAGAAAGATATTAATTTAGAAAAAAATAATCTTTATTAAGCCTGTTCTTGAATATTCTAGTCTTTATTGTCATAATTGCGGACCGTGAATCGAATTCTGAACGATCAGAATAGCTACAGCTTGAAGTAGCTCGTATTGTCACCGGTCTAACAAGCTACGCTAGAAACGGGGTCTGGGAAAAGTTAACAATCAGCCGGGAAGTTAAAAAAAAACTCTTTTTTACAAAATTATGAATGAGGATGTTCCAGAATATTTATTACCGCCTACACCGGTTGAAACAAACAATTACAATAAAAATATATATCCGTCGCCCAGCATATTTTCCAATTACTTCCATTTAGTATTAAACTGTGGAATGATTTCGAAATAAGTATTAACAATCAACTCTCTTAAAATAAGTTTAAATTTTAAATCAAACAGAAATATTATAAAAAAACAAAACTCGCCCTTTATATTATACAATTGGCGATAGATATTTAAATGTTTTGCACGCAAGAAAACGAAATAAATGCAGTGCGCTGAACTTGGATTTGTATCATGCAAGTATTAAACCATGTGTCTTTGTGGATATTTCAACATTATTTTCTCTCCTGTAAAAAGTATACAGCTCAAAGAAGTAAGCTATTAAAGATCCCGGTATGACACATGAAACAATTCAAATTAGAAAGCCAATAGACTGGTTTATAAAATACAACAATGAACTAAAACAAAAAATTACAGACATTTACCAACGACAATCACTGGATTATATGTTTTTGGCTTCGGATAAAACACACACAGAATGTGACGGTGTGTCCATGTTAATATTTTTTTTTAGAGGAAAATGGACCGTCCTTTATTGTTTCTGAAACATCATGATCTACCCTCATATATGTCAATGTTCTCAATAATCCTGAATTAGGGAATAAGTTTCCTTCAACGGTAGAAATAAATTGTTGAAAACTGTGGTAAACAAATGAAGGACTCTGGTATTTCACAATTAATTCATAATCAAAAATTTAAATAAATGGTTTAATAATCAGTTTTTTTAAATACCAACGTTCCATGGCGTCATGTACATATGTTAAATTATATTTGAAAAGTATCTTGAAATCCTGAATAGAAGATATTGGGTTTTTTATGTTACAGATTACAATTTGAAATAAAAAATAAGATTTTTTGCCTAAATATACTAAGGGGGTGTAAATTGGACCACTAGAGGTAAAACTTAAACGAACCTTAAGTTTATAATACATAAAAAGTAAAACAGGAATAACCTAAATAACTGGACAACACAACAGACTACACCAAACACAAACAACCGACTCCTCCAACAAAAAAAAGCAACCCCAAATTAAACATATAAACAAATACAAACAACAACGAACATGATACAGATAGCACGAAATGGTGGAGTAAAGCCAGTTCCCCATGTACAGACCTTTATGCATAGCTGTACTAGCTATTTGCTATAAACGCGCACACATATTGGACAAACCGTAGAAAATTACGTATTGATTATCGCCAAACAAATGTGACATAGTATATCTAGATACCAGCTCCTTTTGCAGGTTACGATTTTAATGACACTGTCGAAACCAACTTAACGTATATTGCATTGGTATGATTGAATAGAGTTGTGACGTATAAGTTGCAGCTGTGTTTTTATATGTCAATATTATTTATTTCTAAATAAATAAATTTTTATCTAAATTTTCTGTATAATAAAAATTTCTATAAATTCATAATCAAAATTACAAGTGTTAGTTCTCAGAACTATGTAATAGGGAGAACAATGAGTACTAGAGTGTATATTCCATACTCAGATACTCCAATAATTTTTTATGACATATCCCACTGTGTTTGCTTTGTTTGAAAATTGTTCAGATAAAATATAATCTCTTTGAAAATATTAACCATTAATTTCAATGTCCTCATACCATCCGTCCTTATATTCCATCACTTGAACTGTTCCATCGTCAAATCCTATCCAGATGTTGTCGTGAATGTCAACAGCAAAGGATGATGGTTGGTTTTGGTAATGGTCTATTCTAATAAGTTTTCCATTGTCATCTAAAAGATGCTGACGAAAGCTCACTCGATCCAAAATTGTAATACGACCATCTCTCATAAATCCAGCGCCAATAAATGAATATACAATGTTCTCTTCAAATGACATTTCATCTTTTGGTGGATATCTTATCTTGTGATTCCCATGTTTGTCAAGAAGCTGTATCCACGACGATTTATCGTCCGGCGCACACGTAATGCAAATATTACCGTTTATAAACTCATCCATGTATACTGGATTTTCAATTTCAACATTGTTGGAAATGTTAAGCTCATTCGTTTTTAATTTCTTGCCGGAATACCATCGAATGACTGCTCCCTTTTCTTTACTTCCTGTCAAATGGTAGTCATGTAGAAAAACAGCGATATCTTTGTCTTTCTCTGGTGTTGATACGGTACAAATAGCGGACAAATGTTGAGAATGTGCAGGTATATGGGAAATCAATTTGTACATGACCGAAGTTCTTTTTAGAGTTCCAGTCATCTCTTGGAGTAGTTTGATGGACTTTCTGTTTTTAAGACCTATAAGTAAACCATGCTTTTTACTATTTCCAGCTGTAAATGGTTCTCCATCTATGTGTGGAAGGAGAGTGGTAAATTGTGGTTCTGGTTGCTTTAAATTTATCTCGCTGATATCCATTCCGATAACCCAAGCCTCGTAAACATTCGTCTTCGGTACAATGAAAGTTACAGTCTTTTTACATTCAAACTTTTTAATGGTCTTGTAGTTTAAATCTTTATTATAAATTGCTGAAGCCCCTTTATTACCTGATTTTGACACATAAATGTCACTGGAATTTTCTTCGTAGTTTTTAATTATTATTTTTTCATTCACGGTACAACCTAAATTAATTTCTCTTGCATGCGAAACCGGTTCTAGATAATCCGGAGAAGAGTTTCGTTCTTCTGTCTCCAATTTATTTGTATTAGATTCTGTTTTCGCATCCTCCTTAGTTTGCTTGCATAGAAAAATATCTTGATAGAATTCTTTTTTTAAGTACTGCTGTGCTATCTCAAAACGAGATGGTTCGAGTTTCGGGATGGTTTCCGAATCGTGTTCGGTATTCAAATTTTTGTTCAGTTCGAAGTCGTATTTTACAACATCTGATGGCTGTATGTCGGCTTTTTGTTGTTGGATTTCTTCTGTTACGTGTGCTAGCTTACTATATCGTTTTTGATGAAAACTTATAAATTCATCAAATTTCACGTTTGCTTTTAGCCTAGATTCTTCTAACTCTCGTATAGTTTCTTCTTGTAGTTCATCAATAATTGCCTTTATTTTTTGTGTTTTTGATCGAAAATCTGCAATGTTTTCATCCATTGATTTGTTAAAAGATCCTTTAACATTTTTGGCTAGTTCCAATGTTTTGTTAATATGTGGGAGTTTTTTACTGGTAATTTCTTCAACATTTTCAATCAAACAAAGTTTGTTCTTATTACCATATTCACTTAGTTTAACTTTTGTACATCTTATATGTTTTCCTTGTCCTGACACACAGTCATCACAAACAAAAACATGACATTCTTCGCAAAAGAATCTGATTTCTTCTGAAGTATGTTCAACGCATGTTGAAGACGTTGACATATTTTTTGTACATTTGCGCCTGAAATAAAGTAAAAAGTGAAATAAAAAAAATACCGAAATCCAAGGTAAAACAGTGAACGTTATTGTGTGTACATAAATCTTTTTTATACATAAGATAAAAATTTCAACATGGCACACGTACAGTTTTTTTTTGCCTGAGGGAGTTGAAACCTTAGTTTCTGTATAATTTCAAAATTTATAAACGGCCAATTTTAGATAGTTTGTTATAAATCATGTCAGTACCGAAGTACTGACTACTGAGCTGATGATACCCCCGGGGACTGATAGTCCACCAGCAGAGGTATCGATTCAGTGCTGTAAAAGAATGAAAACAACACGTTATAAACCTCATGCGTCCGAAGCGCCCCTCTGGATTTAAAGGATGCCATATCAAATCATACTAGCAATGTTATCCTGTTTGAGATAATAATCCTTACCCCTTGAGAAATGATGTTCGATGAAACCTTAGCCTTCCTAAACCAAAAATGAAGCAATCGAATTGTTAAAAAATCTTTTCTATATTCTTGACCATCCTCTTGAAACAATTCGTTTACTTTTAATACTACTAGTTCTTTCAGAAATATCACAAATTTTAATACTTCAACTACAAAATAACAGATCACTCAACTGCCTAGATGTCGTATATTCACGAGTTCTTTCAACTCGGTTCCCTCGCGTTGTTTTACGTTCACACGTAGGTTATTTTTAAAACCAGCACGAGTTATATTGAGGGACCTACAAAGCTTAGGGTACTTGCTAATTATTGTTGATTGTTCTAAAACTTTCAAATATTTCATGTTTGAATAAGTTTTACTGCATTTCAATACTTTAAGTCTGTCTATATACATTGTATTTAAAACACATTTTCAAACAAATTGTATAGTCAAACTTAAACAAAATGGTTATGGATTCACTGTAACAAGTTTATGTTGATTATCTTGTGTTTCTGTATTTTGAACTTTTGAATTAATTCATTGCGATATATTGAAACACAGACTGGGTAAAAAGAAAAAAAGAGAGTGAGTTCAAATTTAAATTGAACCTACAAATTTTTATCCACAAATTCATCTATTGTTCCTTCTTTGTAAATCTCATAATGCTGATGATTTCTGCTGCTTACAGTTTCTATCTTTTTGTATAGAAATAAGGAGATGTGGTATGATTGCCAATGAGACAATTATCCACTAAAGTTCAAATGAAATGGATGTAAGCAATTATAGGCAACCGTACGGCCTTCAACAATGAGAAAACACATACTGTATAGTCGGCTATAAAATGCCCCGACATGAAAGATATGAAACAATTCAATAAAGAAAACTAACGGCCTAATTCATAACAAAACAATTTACGAAAACAAATACGACAGACATTAACCAACGACAACGACAACCACTGAACTACAGACTACTTATAGAATGTGGCGGGGTTAAACTAATTTGCCGGCGCCAAACCCTCCCCCTAACCTGGGACAGTAGTGTAACAGTACAAAATAAGAATTAGCTATAAAAATCAGTTGAAAAGGGCTTCACTCGTTAGATCGATACAAAGAAGAAAACGTCTAATGAAAACACAGACCAGACGTGGTAGCGTATATATACATCCCACAACAAAAAAGACACCAAGTAAAGAAAGATCTGAGAGTACTCTCATTTACTGACAGCTAGTTCAAAGCTATTAACAACTAATAAAAAAATCCTGTATTTAAGACTAAAATATTAATCAGATAACATCCAACATCCAATGGATTTAGTGTAAAGACGTCATTAACAGTCAGAGAAAAACATGACATTGTGCAATGCCAAAATATAGGTATCGACAGATTGTTGTAGCGTGAATGTGCATATGTGTATAACAATTATATTTAGTTTGGTTTTAATAGTTCTTTCGATAAAAGTGAAAAGTGCAAGAATACGTATTAATAGGTCTTTAAGGAAAATAACTCTTATAAGAATTTACCTAAATATAGTCTCCTCGTTATTACGAAATAGTATGTCGTTATCACGTTAATACATTTTCTTCTTCAATGTAGCCCTAGTCGGCTTCCGTAAAACACAGATACGTCAACCGGAAAAAAGAAAGTAAGTACAAATTTAATTGTAAGGGGACGATCATTCATTCAAATCTTGGAGAAGGATGACTATGAAATGGATGCAGCATTGTCTTAAATGGGCGTCCTCAAATCAAAACATACAGTTTAAGTGTAAATAGACCACATTGACTGGAATTATCAACTTCATTTTAAATAAAAGACTATTTGTTAAACGTTTTCAGGTTATAACGAATGTCAAATAACTATAAACGTATCAATTAAAGTTACTCTGTGTAACCCTGTGTAACTTTGAGGGAAAATATTTATTTTTTTTCAAGAGAGAAATGTTATCGGACTACCCCGGACCTTGATCAGTAAAAATCATTTGAGTCCTCTGGATAATTGTTTGCACAAAATCAAATGAAGTCACATTGAAGACTACAACGACCAGCGTTGCTTGTACATTCAAATATGATAACAAATTTCCACTCCTAAAAGTATCATTCAAGTAGCATATGAATCCAGTCGTTTAGGTGCAAAATTTACGTTGATGTTTTGATGTTTTATGTGATCACAAATCGTGGGTCGTAATTTTTAATGAAAAATAACTAATAACAGTTTATGGAAAGTAACTAAGTTTGTAGTTGATGTAGAATATTAATACATGTAAAGGAGCAATCTGATTAAAATTCTGATCCATATTAACTCGCGCGCTCGTATAGGCTCATATGAGTATAACGAAATCAGAGAACTATATTTTAATTAGATTGATACAGGAGATGCCGTTTATATGTCAATGAGACAGCACCCCAACGACATAAATAACCAAAAACACATCAAATCCATGACAAAATAAAACGACCAGATTCATATAATACTTGAATGGTATTTCCAAGCTTGCAAGTTAATGATTCGGACTTCAGAAAGCATTTTATAAATTGTAATACTTCAACTACAAGTTCTAGAAGTTAGAAAGCAAGTTATAGTTATATTGTGTGTTCAGTGTGTGACTTCAAAATAACTGTTAACAAAACTTTATTTTGAATTTTTCGAAATACTAAAGATTTTCAACCCAAAGAATAGTTTACCTTGTCTATATTTGGCAAAATCGTTTCGCAATTTTGGGTCCTTAATGCTCCTCAACTTCGTACTTTATTTTGCCCTTTTAACTTCTTGATTCGGCGTACCAAATATCAATGCTTGATAAGTTTGTTTACTCAGTAGAAAGTGCTTTAATTTCGAAAATTTGTCTTTGCATTTGATTTAAATTATTCTAATATTAAGGTTCTTTACCGCATAGTTTTGAAAAAATAAATGGTATTCAGCAAAATATAAAGAGAAGCGCATTTCACTTTATGTGTACTATTGGATATATTTGTCTAACAATTAAACATTGAGCCGCTTTGCATAAAAACATTGATATTTGCTCATCAAAACTGATGTTATTATGTAAAGATTTTTTTTATTCTGTCAAGATGTTATGCCTAACACATTTGGTTATTCTTTTATGCTCTTCTTTGTAATATAATTTGACGCGTATTTACAAACATATGCATGTATCATTTTCGTCTCTGGGTTTAATATGAAGTAAATGCATTGATGTCTGTGAAAATATTGTAAGTCTAGGTATAAACAGACAAAACTGAAAGTGAAAATAGTCAGAATTTGATGAAATCCAAACAAATGACAAATGGTATAATGACAAATGGTATGTAACTACTTCAAAAAGGAAAATTGACAAAAGGAAGAGAGTAAAATATTTCGTTTTTCAAAGAATTTAGTGTTAAGTCGTTCAGCATTGACAATTTCAAGAAAAACAATCAATATGAAGCTGGCCATCTTGTGAGGCAAGTATACTTGATTCAGTTCACTGAGACACATGAAATGTGAGTAAATGCTGAAATACTAGAAGTACTTGAGAGAAAGGACGTTATTAATATATTTGAAAGTGAAAGTAAAGGCTTTAACTGTGTGTTTTATTTTGTCTAGTGGATTGATTGATTAGTGTTTGCTGTAACGTTCAGTAGCAAATATGTCATGCATATTCAAGCCAAGATAAATTTTATGACAAATCCAAAGAACAGTTCCTGCAAAGCTGGATGATAGGGATGAAGGAATAAAATTTCATCAGTAGCTGGAATATTGAGGGTATTTTGGATAGAGCAGAAATTTTGCCTTGCAGCAGGTCTCCTACGGGCCACACAAGGAGTTTTTGCAAGGGTTTTTCAAAAGTGCAGCGAACATGATACTCTCATTAAACTCGGTACCAGATTCCGAATGGATGTGGCTTCGTATTTATACATCAAGCACAGCCAAGTCGATGCCACTTTTTACCATGTTTTTAGCTGAATTGGAGAAGTCCGTGTATGACCATATTTCTCACTTTTTAATTGATATTAAAATAAGTTTTAAATATAGTCAATTAATACGTAAAACTTATGTTTTACGTGGTTACTCCTTCAAAATTTGAACCACAACGGCCGATGGACGAGGTGTATCCTCGCTGCTACTAAAACAGTCACTTAGTAAACCTGGTTAATCAGTTTCAATATCCCTCTGAATTACATAGGGAACAAAATCTTTTAAAATACATATTTTACAGACAAAAGATTATAATCATTGACACTATTTGGATCCGTAAGGTAATGAGGTGGTTATCGACATGTTACACCCCAGTTCTATTGTTATACTTCATAGTTTCTATTTCTGAAACAAGTGTAAAATGAATAGATCTATTGTTACGAATAACAAAGGACTTTGACCACAGGGTGTGACGAGCAGGGTTTCTGGAAACCCCTGCTTCTACATCCCGCAAACAAAGTCCATTGTTATTCGTAACAATAGAAATTGATTATTTTTTAAATAGCATGAACATAAGAAATTACTAATAGTGTTTACTACAAATTGTTTCAAGATATTAAAAAAACACATTTAAGGAAATTCCAATAGCGAAAAAAAGAATTAAGCATCTATTTTGAATACAAAAATAATTCTTTAAATACTCTTTTGCTTGAAGTAATTTATTTTATTCCAGTCATATGCCTCTATTCTTAAGCATTGGTATATAACTCCCGGGACCCCCCCCCCCCCCCCCCCCGGTTACCCATTGGCCGATCTGGCGTGGGTTTCCGCGGTTTGGACCCAAAAAGATCGATGCATTTGAATTGTTGGACCCCCCTTTTCTGTTGAGTTGGGAACCCCCAGCTGGATCAGCCCCCGTTTGCCCCCTAAAAAGGGAGTTCCTAAATATTAAATCTCTTTCTTTGTTTGTTGAGCGTGTCTGGTGGTCGGGTCACACCTATCCCTTAGTATGTTGGAATATGAATGTTTGTTTATTCTCGAGAAGAGGGTGGGGGGTATAAAACCATAAGGTATAAAATACAGTTATGATTACCTTTATTACACTGATACCTGTCAGTACTTTGGGTTATAATATTGCCTTTATCTTAAGTCTCTTCTACCAAATCCAACGCTTGCCACAAAATGTCGTCCGTCTTATACCCGTCCATATTGACAACTGCATACAAGGAACATGATGTATTGTTTGTTTGTAATAAGAATACACGAAACGGTCAACCTTGACCCTCTGATCCATATTAGCAAAGGATTTAACGGGAATATGCAAAACAACTTGACATTTGTAAAATATACTCACTTGTCAAAGTTTGAACGAAAATAACCAAAGAAAGGTTACTAGTGGGGTTTCATGTAATAAAAAAAAAATTCTTATAAATCATCGTTTGGTATTATCAATAAATATGCTATCGGTTTTTTTTATTCATTTGATAATCAATGTTAACAAATATAGGGTTTAGAATGGGGTGTAAGTTAGTTATACACCTCGAGATACGGTGTGTCTGGATAAGAAACCCCTCCGGCCTCCGGCCGACGGGGTTTCTTATCCAGACACACCTATCCCTCGGTGTATAACTATTACGTAATGGTAGTAGTAAATATTTGAGAGGGAGCATTGGATTTATTTGAAATGTATTATATGTTAAATATTCGATAAGGACATTTAAACTGGAAAGATGATTTCATAATGAAACAGATACTGCATTGTGCTTATGCTATTTTTACGGTGATTTCATTTTGTATATTTTTAGTTTAAATGAGAAACATTTGTAAAAAAAATACGCTTACAATACAGATTATTTAACAATGTTGACTAATTTCTTATACTAATATTTTTAAAAAAGCTTTAAGAGAATATTTATATATGAAAAACACATTTTTATCAAGCAAATATACAACAAGAATAAAAACATAACTGAACGTCGATTTACGTTTATAGACAATACCCTTTATTAGACCAAAGTCATAAATTTTCATACCTACCGATTTGTACATTATTTTATTTGAAACATTGAAATGATTAGGTAGGATAATTGCGCTATTTGTCTAAAGAATTTGTACAAACTAGATGTATTTACCAGAAGCAGCAAGATTCACAGGTTTTAATTAAGTCCTAGGTCTGGGTGATATTCATGTTGTAATATAGAAAGAACTGGATTAATTGTTGTTTGTTTTATTTCCGTGAAAAGGAAGAACTTGAGGTTTCAGTGAGCCCTGTTAAAACGGTAGAAAGTTAAAACAGTATTCTAGCCATTTTTAAAAGGGGGATGGGGGGGGGGGGTGTTCATCCCAGGATAAAGGGGGGCGGGGTTCCAACCAAATGCCCCCATTCAAAATCATTGATCGTCAAAAAAAGGGGGGTTTCCAACCCCCGGAACCCCACACCCCTAGATCCGCCACTGGTATTTATTATAATTTGTTTTGTGGGTAATGTTATCTGTCCTTCTTCGACTAATGATGACGTCTTCTTTTTCTTCCGCTCTCGTTTAAAGAATACGCAAGTGATGTGAACTGATATTAGTTATTTAAGAGAGATTTTCAATACTGATTCCTCCTCCCCTTTTTCCTTTGCCCCTCCCCCAAACGCACACTAAACGACCTAAAATATCTATCAGGGTTATAAGATTAATTTTTTCACTGTTAATTTATATGCAGTAGATAGTACACGTACCTTATTCCCCACCACCGAATAATGTGTGGTGCCGCGGAAATTGCTATCATACGACTGTGTGTGTGTGTGTGTGTGCAGTGTAGTTACGTATTTTTTACCTACTTGAACACTGCTATGTTTTTAGTATGAACTTACGTTTTCCTACATTTCTGTTGCTTTTACGATTCTTCTTTCAGTTTTGGTATGATTTGTATCCAGGAAGGATATTACATGCAGGTTAAAACTGAACTTTACTACCTGTTTAGTGTAGTGTATTCAAATTGGTAATTTAAATTTACAACGAAATATGGTAAGGATTCATAGTATATATAAACATTATGCATATTTTGCCCCAATAAGGAATAAGCTAGTAAAGTTACAATTGAATTAACTGCTTTTAATATATTTGAATTATACTTTATACATGTTAATAGCTAGTAAATCGTGAAGCATCAAAAGTGTTTTGTCAGCTTATTTGATGTCCAAAACCAGTTAATTAAATTTAAAAAAAAACAGTTGAAGATAATTCCTCAGTGTTAAGCTACATATTTCAGATGGAACATTTTGTTCACCTATTTTATTTTTATTGATTATTATTTTCCGCAACGTTTATCTGCCAGTCAATTGAGCGCCCCCCCCCCCCCCAAATAAATTTGAAGGTCAATTGCTTATATTGTTAATTTCATACATAATAGTACTATAAACGGTTGGATGCATAACACCACTTTATATCATCAATTTATGTCACTTCATAGAACAAAGACAATTCGATGCGTTTAGAAATACCTTGTAGGCTTTATTTTCTTTAAAAGCGTTCGTTAGATGTAATAATACACTGTAATACCCAACAAGTACGCCATATGCAAGCAAAAGAGCTTCACTTTAGTCTGGTGTATGCAAATCCTGTTTTGAACGAAAGAACGTGTGATTTAATTTTCATAAACCAATACTTATATAACACTGCTATGCATCCTTGGGATCGATTCCAAGCTTTGTTTGGTACTTTTGGAAGGAAAATCCTGCTGCATGGTTCACATGCTTACATAATTCTCTTTTAAGATACTCTTTGTAGGTTTGATCCACCATTTTCTACATAAGAAAATGCCTGTACCAAGTCAGGAATATGACAGTTGTTTTCCATTCGTTTGATGTTTGAGCTTTTGATTTTGCCAATTGTTAAGGGACTTACCGTTATTAATTTTTCCGTGGAGTTCGGTATTTTTGTTGTTTTACTTTTTGTTGACATGTTATATTTGTTTACCAGTCGAAATAAAAGTCTGGCTTGAAACAAGTATACAAGTTTCAACAGAGCTTATTCGAAAAGAAAAGGCTCGATTTGTAGTAGACTCTGGATAAAATTCAGAGATAATAAATAAGACCAACGCACAATAATGATTATTTAATAGAAAGCTACTATACACTCACAGTATTTTGAACGCCGACATACAACACAAATAACAGTACATCCACCCTTTCTCTATTTCATCTCATGTCAAATACACAAATGCACACACTGTTTCGCAAGATTCACTCACAGGCACGTTCACTCTAACTTGCACAGACAAACATGATCTTGCATACATAGCCTCTCTCACGCAATTACACAGACCAACATACATTAACATCAAAGAACACTTGTATTTATAATCATTTATAAATTAACCAATAAGGTCAACATCTCCTCAATGTTTATGTTTACTTCATGTTTTCTGTAGATTTGCAAAAGAATCCCCATCTCTTTTGATTCCACGGGTTAGTCTTATACCACCCAAAGGCAAAGTCTGACTCGTCTGTTGCGACCTTCAACTTAACGACCATCCCTGAAAATAAAAAAAACAAACCGAGTTTAGTTTTTTTTCCCTCTGCATTCCTAAATCTGATAAACTTAAAGATAGTTGTGAGAATGAAAATAGTGTAATATTTTATAAAAACAAAATGACAAACACTATCCTCTGGACTTTGATTCGTTATTCTTTATATTAATTTGGTATCGTCTACCATTCATTTATGTACTTAAAAACCAAACACATGCATGTATATTGTATTAATATTTTTCTTTTGATTGTTTTGCGTCGTTGTATTGCTTTTTCATTGACATATATATAATCCTCTCAACACTTTTGAATCAAATCCAAATTTGTCTAATGTAAGTACAATTTATTTTCTTCGTGAAATGGTAAACATGATTATATAGACATTATATGGCTTGTGTACCTTTGAAGTTGATATTTCTTACCTTCCTTAATTTTGACAAAGCACTCGTTTGTTTTCACTGACAAGTCTTTTGTCTTTACATAATTGTTGATTAAAAAATCAAACTGGTTGTCTTGGCAACTGACGTCTGCAAAATGAAATATTGGAACAGTTATTATATTAAGTCATTCAAATGGTATGTTGTAACACAGATATAGTATAATAGCAATTTAGGCTTATGAAAACCTCTGATTTCTCTAGAATATTTTAGTGCTATTGCTTGTGTTTGACATATTTGCGCTGGATATGTGAAAGAACTGAACCGACGATAGAACTCACCGATTACTGGTTGCCGTCACAATTAGAAACTGACCAAGTATGTTTGCGAAGACATTAAGTATGGTGGCCGGATGCGGCCATTTCACCTTTTCGCGTTTTCTCCTTTCACTTTGCAAATGAGAAATCGGGAAATCGAGAAAGCGAGAAAGCGAGAAAGCGAAATCGAGAAATTGAGAAATTGAGAAATCGGGAAATCGAGAAATCAAGAAAGCAAGAACGCGAAAACGGGAAATGAAATAGATTTCTCGATTTCGCGTTTTCGCTTTCCCGATTTCTAGATTTCCCGATTTCTCGATTTCTCGATTTCACGATTTCTCGATTTCTCGATTTCCCAATTTCCCAATTTCTCGATTTCTCGTGAAAGGAGAAAACGCGAAAACGCGAAATGGCCGCATCCGGCCACCATAATTAAGACCAATGGCTAATATAAGAATCGTTCTGTATAAAAAAAAAGTTGGACCATGAAAATAACAGTTCCATTAAATAAAATTCACATAACAAGCATTACACAAGCATGGCGTATATGCAAACAATGCTTTAATTAAAATAATAATAAGTATAAATTACATGTACAGTGAATTAAGAGGTGCTATATCTGAAGGTTTGTTGGCATCAACTGTCAACACAAAAATAAAATAAAAAACACTTGTGCAAGCAAATTTTGTGCAAAACTGTGGTCTATATTTGAATGCAACTAAAATAAATCATTCACATGTCTGTGCTTGCGTGTACACTTTCAGACCATCACCCATGAAACTGAATGCCCCGAAATTTGTGGAATTATCCAATCAAAATAAACGTTATGGGCTGACTTACTATTGTTATTGCGTTGTTCTTTTGTCGCCTCAAATGGTTGTTCTTTCATTATCTGTATGGCTGATTTGTAATTAACAAATTGTACATCTGGAAGCTTGGCTTTATATCCGGTAGCAGTATGAAATTCCTATATGAAAATCATTGTAATTATCAATTTTGCTGTCATGATTAATACAAATTATGTGGAAGAGATCGCTTTTCAAGTGATAGTTCCATATGTATGTACAGATTGAACAAAAAGAGATAAAAACAAGATTATTTTCAAGTTTGTAATCTTTTAACTAGTGCATATTTAGTTATTAACGAACTCTCTGAAAATCTTTTTGGTTGGTTTTTATTCCGTTCAGCTGCTTTCTCATTGACATATACCATACATCTATTATTCAAATTACAACCACAGATTAAACCAGCTCTCCAGGGAAACTTAAAAACAATTGCATGATAAATCGGTTTTTGTCTAGCACCCGACAACGAAGAATTTGAACAACTGCTATCTTTTAAATTAGGAAATCATACCTTTATTGATAGATTCATATGCCTTATCATAAGGCTGGAATGATTTTTTTAAAAGCTACTTAGTTATGAAACTGTTACGTTTCATTTGATTGTTATTGGTTTATATAGCCATGATAGAGAGGTTTCCTTGACAATAATCAACTATCAATAAGTCGCGATATTTGAAACAAAACATTTTACAAAGAGAGCATGGGCAATGTTAAAACATGGCCCGATGACTTGTAAGGAAAAGAAAACTCACTTTTATGAAATTTAATAATAGTTGTAAACAGGGTAGACTATCGATTGAAATAATAAAACAAATGTCTAAAGCTACACTGGAAAAAAATATTGTTTGAATAAATAATCACCTGTGGTGAACTGAACTGGTATTTGGAGCTTAGTTTCTCTATAATTGATTCTGCAGCCAATCTGCAGTCAAAGTCGTCAATGTGTGGAAGTACTTCATAGAGTCTACAAGACAAACAAAAACACGATTAGTGATCTCTCCTGCAAGCGATATGTACCAATAAAAAATAATGACTGTTTGTTATTCTTTTTTTTTTAAGAAAATGCCATTGGTTTTTTAACTTGAAAAATAATATCAATTTCGAATTTGATGGTTAATTAGTCTTCTCGGTGACATTAACTTAAATGCAACGTGTTTCTCCTGAACTGTTTGATTGATAGTATCTTATAAATAAAAAGCCGTCTGTGTAAACGAGTTTGAACCTTTTTATAGTCGAGGGCCGTATTAAAATAGTGGCGAATCCAGGTTTTTGAAGAAGAAAAAGAGGTCATGCAACCGATTTATTTTTATTCCAAAATCACCTTACTTTATCATGTATCAACAGTATTCAAGTCATTTAACAATATCTAGATTACGTACTCGTTAAAATTAGACAAAAAATCAGACAATCGTCCTAAAAAGGATCTTAAACTTCCACACTAGGCACTAAAAGTGTCCTTATTGAGTAACTAGATTGTAGGATTTTAATTTCCCTTTACACTCGTTATCACAACAATGCATTCACATTATATGAAATGAATTACTTACTTGTTGGTGTGTGCTGCTAAGATGTATTTCATAGATAGCAATCCACTATGTATACGATCTGTTAAGTTGAATCTTATATCGTCCAATAGGTCACTTTCAAGCTAGATAATATATAATGAAAACAAGTGAAACTGTGAGCCACTGCTCATTGATGATACCAAATACTTGACATGAAGTTGTTAAGTGATAAATCTGAAAACGCATCACACGGTATAGCTGACTTATATAAACCCTGAAACCTTTTTTAAAGCGGGGGTATAAAAAGTATCAAGCTCAAACTACGAAAATCCTCAAAAAGGATCATAAACCATGATAATCCGACTAATCCACCTATAATTGACTATTCAATTAAATTAAGGTACCAAGTAAATTATTTTCCGCAGATTGTATAGCGATTTTGCACCATGTACTTCATTGTGTTCCTTTTAAGTTTTAAATTTGAACAACACATTTTCTTTATTCAAATTTTGTCTTCATTCAATAAAAAACAATTGACGGAACGTCCGAACTGAGAAATGGTGGAATGGGGGTAATCTATGCAAGTAGATGAAACGGTAATTTGTGTTTTACAGTAAATCAAGCGGTTTCTTATACATCAATGAACCATACATTTCTCAGCTTGTACTTCCTTACATTGCACAAACTGAGCCATTTTATTCTCCAATTGATTTTAACTCTTGGACGATTAAAATATTGAACCTATTAAAGTAATATTGACTCTTAAATTTTTCTTCTAAACTAACCAATCTCAAAGCATTTCTAGTCATTTTCTCTTTTGTCAGCAAAATTTGGTATCTCTTGACTGTTTCCGTTGCTTTCTGCTTTTTATCATTTAGTGTCGTCTGCAAATGCTCAATGCTGTTATTTCGAGCTTTCAGGTTTTTACTAGATAGTTTACCCGCCAGGTGGTTTAGTGACAACTCAGCCGTCTTCAGGCATAATTCGTATTTATGTACCTTATTGTCAGCAATCCAACACATCTTTAAATATAAAACAATTTTAATTTTATTTGTTAGCAATGTAAAACACTACATTTCTAAAGACTAGCTAGAAACATGTGTACTAACACTAAAGAATAGAGAGCGTATAGTTTTCCAAATGGTTTCATGGTTTGTTTTTTCAGACTGTTTATGTATGGCGATCTTACACTAAATCCATTGGATGTGTACTGATTGAACATTTAGTTTAGGAAACATGATAAATGATCAGTTGTATTGGCTGTAAAATAGCTTTCAGTAATTGCGAATAATATAATATCGGTACTTTGTGTCTTTGGTATTTTATTAGTTGTTTTTGTGCTTTACATGGAATTACCCCTTTTCGATTTTACCTTGGAGTTATGTATTTTAAAAAAAAATTGTATCGATTTGACGAATCAAGCATTTTTCAACTGATATTTTACTCTTTGGTCTTATGTTGTGTCGTTACACCATGCACTATCCCAAGTTTGGTCTCTGGTGGATAATCGTCTTATTGGCAAAAATACCGCATCTTCCTATTTGTATATTATATTGGAGTTTGGTGAAGCATATAAGCTTTATCTTGGCCTTAAACAACACGAACAACCAATGCCATAATTGTCACCTGAGCAACATTTTAGGTCGAACCTAACAATTTTGAAATATATCTCTTGAACAAAAAATAAAACTGAACTACCCTCTTGAAAAAGAGGTTAGCACACGAGTGCTTTTTGCTGTAAAATATTATACCTCTTGTTGTCGTTGAAGTTCTTTGTAAATATATGTATGTGTTCTCTGCAGTTTATTCATTTCTTCGACCTTTGCATATAATTCTTTGGTTTTTATCTGATCAAATCTGAAAAAAGTGTAATTTAATATGAAATCTTGCAAGCGCATGCAACACTTTTGTGTACTTGAAGTAGAGCTCCTTTTTATGCATAAAGATTATCTATGCAAGTAGGAATATTTTGTTTCAGCAAATGTCTGTTGCTGTTGAACATTTACACAGAATTCCGCTCTAATCGGTGCTAGTGACAGCTTTCAGCTTATTGAAGGTCTCACTATGACTTTGATATGATGAACACCAATAAAAGCGCTGTTGCTTTGCTTTTTGTTTTTTTTTCATGTGCGTGTACTGATTTTGTGTCATAAATCAACACATCATATCCTATATTTTTAATAATCTATACAATTATATTATAGGAGTCTGTTTTATTAGCGGCTTACCTGTAAAAGGCTTTCATATATCCAAAATATGAAGTGGTGGGTAACTCTGGGTAATACAAAGACACCATGTCTTTATGTTTCGGATACACGAACGCCATCATCACCTTATGGTTTGGATACCACTTGACAGTAAATTTGTATACACGCTAACCTTTAACCGACAGGTCTTTAATAAAAAAAATGACCGACTTAGTTTTGACTCCAAGGAAAGTGCATTTTACAAGTTTGTGCTTTTTGTGTAACTGAACTACTTTTGACAGTAAATACAGCAAACAATAGTTGTACTATTTTAATCAAACAACTTACGTTGGAATTGGCAGAATGCTGTCAGATGATGAAACCACTTTAACGATTTTGTTCTGGATTCTTTCAGCAATGGACTTACTACTGCTATAGCTAGCTGTCTCATGTGCTCCAACAACGCCCAACACCATCTCAGTCAGTAGATAAAACAACTTGTTTATTTCCGGAAATTCTGGAGAGAAAAACAATTATGAACGTCGCTCGAGTGAATGTGCTAGCAAATCTTAATAGCATACAAGTAATGTTTTACCGGATGTTGTGTCACTCATATGTCATTCACATCAAATCATTTCAAAAACTTATAGTTAAAGATCAAGTAACAATTAAGAAACAACGAACACTCCAGAACGCCCGGACGTCATATCGAAAGAACTGTATCCGTTCCCAGAGCTAGTGTCGATTTGCATTCTTTTATATGCGCAGGCGTTTAAAGCATGTCTATGGAAGAGTTTTCCAAGTTATGTTATGTATGTCTCGGTTTCTTTAAATGATGTCGAAATATATTTTATTCGCATTTTGATATTTTTCACTTGTAAAAAAAATCATATTCTTACCCATATTTTGTCTGTGTGCCATCACTTTCTGCAAGATGCTTTTTATGTGTTGTCTTGGGAAATCTCCAGTTTCCGAATTGAAGTTAACCTCAAGGGATTCGCTGATTGTAGCGAATACATCAATTCTGGAAAAAATGAATAATGATTGAAACCAACTAATAAACCTGACTTATTTTATGTTTTATAAGACGATTTCACTTCATACCAGATATTGTGTTTGTGTTCAAACTATTTGGCATGGGTATGTCTCATGCTAATAAGATTTTAGCAATTAATTAATTAAAATGTTTTAATAAAAACAATAATATACCCTTTCCCAGTGTTTCTGACAATGAAAAAGTGTATATAGGGGACCGTTAAAAGGGAAACAAAAGATAGAGTGGCAAAACAATGAAACTAGTATACATAATTGCGAAACATTTTCAATGAAAAAACTTACGTTCTGTGTGCAACAGAAGTAATGCTGTAAATATCAGGAAAATAGACACAATCCATTTTCATTTCTTCGATTTCTTTTGAAAAGTCTGCTACTCAGAATTTTCTTGCTGTGCTGGGTTTTCCGTCGTAGTGAGGGAAAGATAGCCCGGGGAAAAAGGTAACGTCATAATCTGGACGTCTTCTTGTTGGACGTTGGAAAAATGTAGAACGTCACAGATAAAGCGATTTTTAGTTGGTTTGGATGGGGAGGCAAAATTGTAAAATACTGTTAAAACTTTACGGCGGAGTATCCTTTTTTGGTGATTTTAATGAAATTGTGTTGCATCTAGGGACCGACCATTTAACTCTAATGGAGTGTTATGTTTTTTCTTTAAAAACAATTCTGATTCCCAACATTGAAGAAAAAAGGATTTTGATCAGGGAAAGGAAAAAAATATTTTCTGACTGAGAGTATTTGCCATTAAATTTTGATAATGAAAATTTTCGCGCTTCGCAATAAAAAAAATAAATAATTTGATGCTTACGTGGTGCCAAAATATTTTCTAAATGAAATGAAAACATACCTTCCTCTTCTTGAAAGCCAAATGGTCGTTCCCTTACAACTCTTTGAACTAAATTTGAATATACTTCCATTGATAATATCCATTTCGTGAATATATAAAATGTACATAAAAGCGTCGTTAAATTCTTGATTTCTCTTTAATTGTGAATTTCTGAAAACCTGTAAGTTATGAAAAAATGTTTTAAAGTGACATGGTATTGCTAAGAACATTTTCGTTTTAAATTCATATGGGTTCACCGTATTCATTGTTTTTATTTTGTAGGAATCAGCTAATCTCAATATAAAGAATAAAAGACAAAATAAGCGTAATGTTAATTGTAAAGATTTGTCTTCGTTGGACCACAAGGGTACTGACTGGAGTATAGAAATATATGATTACCTGGTCTTTTCCCATTCTATAAAATCCATGCTAAATGAAAATAACACTCTATAATGTTCGTACGTCCGAGGCAATTTTCTTAATTTACCTTCATAAGGAATACTCGAACCTAAACCTTTGAAATCCAGGGATGTATAAAAACCTAGAAACGTATAGAGAGTATATTATTGTTACACAGCTGTCCAAGGTTAGAGTTTGGGTTGTCGCCTTCAAACTAGTTCAACCCCGCCACATTCTGTATGTGCCTGTCCCAAGTCAGAAGCCTGTAATTTGTTGCTGTATGCCATATTTGTTTTTCGTTCATCATTTTGTACATACATCAGGCCGTTAGTTTTCTCGTTTGAATTGTTTTACATTTGTCATTTACCCTGTTCAGTCTATACTCTCTTTTACTATGTTATTGTCCAGAAGGAGGGAGATAGTTTACCAACATGTCGAGCGGAAATCTTTAGCGCAATTTACATATTTTAAACGAAAATCTTTAAGCGTTTTTCTATCATTTTATTTTTTAATTATAATTTCCAGGACCGGATTTGCCCAAATTTTAATCCGTCTTGGGATTAAGTGTTTAGAAATCTACCCAATTTTTTATTTGACAGTAGATAAGATTCAATAGGGATGGTTATCCGATGATTACCGTATGGTTCATCATATATGTAGTGTAGCTAACCATCTAGTTCATAGAGTTTGAGAACGAGTTGCAGTTTAAGATAATCTTCAAGTTCGAGTTAAAGTTGGAATTGAAATTTGAGTTAGAGTGAAAACTTGGAGTCCAAGAATTTCTTCTTAGAGCTGGAGTCGGTATTCGAGTTTTTGTAAACATTCGAAGACGAGTACAAATTCGACTTAATTGTCAATTTGGGTTTTGTTTTGCACTTTGACATTGAGTTACCGTATACCTTAGAGGAAAACATAAAAAACTATCTAACATTCATTTTTCAGCTGATAAAATAATAAGAAGACGGGGTATGATTTCCAATGGGACAACTTTCCACCTGGGACCAAATGACGTAGAAGTTAGCAATTATAGGTCACCCTATGGCCTTCAGCAATGAGCAAAACCTATACCGCATAGCAAGCTATAAATGGTCTTAGCGGACACGACAAATGTAAAACAATCCAAACGAGAAAAACTAATTTATGTAAAAAATATAAACGAAAAGTAAATATGATAGACAGCAACCAACGACAACCAATGAATTAAATGTTCTGGGAAAGGCACAACCCTCTCCTAATCTGGGATAGTAGCGTAACAGCAAAACATCAGAAACAAAGTGTACGAATCAGTTGGAAAAAAAAGTAAAATAACAAAAAAACTGTCATATTCGTGACTTGGTACAGGCATTTTCTTATGTAGAAAATGGGGGATTAAACTTGGTTTTATAGTTAGCTAAACCTCCCACTTGTATAACAGTCGCATAGAATTCCATTATATTGACAACAATGTGTGAGAAAATCAAACAGACATAATAGGTAAAAATGTCAAAAATTGGGATACAGCAGTCAACATTATGATATATCTTAATCACTATAAAAACAAATAACTATTTCAACAAAGGAAAACAAATTAAATGGCATAAGACACTCTATAGACAAAGTACATAAGCAAAAATGAAAGACAAGAATACAAAATTGACCATAGCACAATAACACAATGGCGGGATGTATAAGTACCGAGCCACGCCAAAAGTATATTACCAAAAATGGACTAAACAGTAAAGGAATATTTATCAACAAGGTCTTGGTATCTTCCAATGAGTTTTTTTTTTTTTAGAAAAAGGACGAGACATTCTTTGACATAACCTTGGCTCATAAACTTTCTGCTCAGACACTGGTGACGTTTTATAAAGTCTGACTAGCAGCTGCAAGCTCTTGAATACCGAATGAGTTGGGAAATGTATATCCCATATGCAGGTAAAATTGGGCTATTGCTGCTAAGGTGGGGGAAATTTATGATTTCAAATTAAAATCGTCTCATTTGTCATAGATTCTGGTACTGAGATGACCGCCGTGTCTGTTGTTTCTTTAATTTATAGTTCTGGCGGATATATTAATGGAACCCAATCAGAAAAGTTTGGATTGTTAATTGAAAGAACACCATCAATATATCTGATTGTGAAATTAAATGATCTGGCTTCTTTGATCTTCTTGTTTTTGACAGATGTCCGAAGGAACTCCGACTCATATGAAAATAAGAAGAGGTCGGCTAGGAGAGGAGCACAGATCTTTCCCATAGGAATGCTGACCATTTGTTGAAAAAGTCTACCTTCAAATTCAACAAATATGCGGTCAATAAGAAACTCCAGCATACTGATCACTTGTTCCTCTGTATACCATGTTTTACCTCTTTGTTCACTATTAACAAAATATGCCGTATGGTATCCCAAAGCAATAAATTTATAGCGTATGCTTCAAATTTTATATTGAAAAAAAGCAAAACATAAGAACAAAATATAACTAGAGGCTCTAAAGAGCATGGGTTGCTCACCTACGTCTCTGTGCATCTCAGTCAACAAAGGACACTCTCCAACATTGTAGATGAGAATAGAATTGGTGACAAATTTCTCTTTTTTTATCTTATATGGCAGATAATTTTTTCTGTATACAATTTCTCTCATTCTCCTTTAGTTTTTGCCTAAACACAAAAAAGGGTAAAAAAATCGTCAATTAAGGACAATCACTCATATACTATATAATATAAATAAAAAATGTGTAGATCTTGTCTTGCTGATAATTTTTGCAATTTAGGGTGTCTATCTATCATATATAGTTTTCAATATGTTTTTTATATAAAAATCGTCATTAAAGAGCAAAACCCTCATAAAGAGTCGACGGACGATTTCGGCCATTAATCTTATTTGTAAATCTTGTTTTGCTGATCATTCTGGCTTCTAAAATTTCTTTATATCTCTTATAGTTTTTAATATCGATTTTGTCATCAGCAAATTAAAACATAACTAAATTTGTATTCTTTTCTAACGTTTTTTTGGGATGTATAAATACACATCCACGTTCATTTTCTATATAGAGATTACTCCATCTATATATTACATTATACATATTTATTAACAGGTTAACTCCTACTACTATCCTACTGACTGTCGATACTTTTATTTTGGCATTGCACAAGTCATGTCTTCTTCGACGTTAAAATACTAAATCCCTGGATGTGTTTTAGTTGATTTTAGTTTCTGGTGCACGATTTTTTATTATTAATTGTTTTTGGCTTTTAACAAGCTTTCAGTAACTGCGAGTACTCTCAAATCGTACTTTCGTGTTAATTTGACCTGTTGATACAATTTGTAATGTATTTTTGTTATTTAATGTTTACTTATTCAGTGTTATATCTAGTCTCACTATTTTTATATATACCACCTTTGATAAGTGTTTAGTATGACGATAAATTTTCACTTTTGTTTTCGTACTTGGAACAACAAAATTATTTATTTTGTAAAAATTATTTCCGTACTCTATGTATACCTTACAACAAAATTATTTTTATTTACCTGTGTACGTTATTTTATTTGGCGGAATTTTGTCCAAAGTTATGGTTGTCTTTCTGATATTGTTTTAAATCTAACCCCCTTGTTTTATTAATTTTGTATTTATATTGTGTCATAGATCAAATTTATTCGTTCAGTGTATGTTTAATATTGAGAATGGAAATGGGGAATGTGTCAAAGACAACAACCCGACCATAGAACAGACAACAGCAGAGGGTCACCAACAGGTCTTCAATGCAGCGAGAAATTCCATGAACCCTGAGGCGTCCTTCAGCTGGCCCCTAAACAAATATATATACTAGTTCAGTGATAATGAACGCCATACTAAACTCCAAATTGTACACAAGAAACTAAAATTAAAAATAATACTTGTTTTTGTTAATATGTCTTTTGATTGAGTTAAGCCATTTCAATTGATATTTTATAGTGTGTCTTTCTATGTTGTGATGTTACATTATTGTTTCAGGTAGGGTGACGGTTGGCGCCTATTAAAACGTTTAAACCCACTGCATTTGTTTGCACCTGTCCTAAGTCAGGAACCTGATGTTCAGTGGTTGTCGTTTGTTGATGTGGTTCATAAGTGTTTCTCGTTTCTCGTTTTTTTTATATAGATTAGACCGTTGGTTTTCCTGTTTGAATGGTTTTACACTAGTCATTTTTTTGGTGCCCTTTAAAGCTTGCTGTTCGATGTGAGCCAATGCTCCGTGTTGAAGGCCGTACTTTGACATATAATGGTTTACTTTTACAAAATGTGACTTGGATGGAGAGTTGTCTCATTGGCACTCATACCACATCTTCTTATATCTATTTAGATTATAACACAAAAACGCAAAAAAAAAACAAAATAGTAAAATAATGTCATTAAAGGTCACCAATTCCAATAAGGACGATTTCGGCCATTTGAATTATTTGTAGATCTTGTCTTGCTGGTAATTTTTGCCATTAACAGTGTCTACGTTTATATTATAGTTTTCAAGATAACACGCAAAAACACTAGAAATTATAAAAATCGTCATTAAAGAGCAATAACTCCGATAAGGAATCGACTGACGATTTCGGCCATTAGTATTCTGGCTTTTAAAAGTTTATATCTATCATTATAGTTTAATAAGATATAAGACTAAAAAGCAAAAACAAAAGGTAAATTTTGTCATTAGAGGGCAATATCTCTAATAAGGAGTCCTCTAACGATTACGGCTATCATGTTGAATTATTTGTAGATCTTGTCTTGCTGATCAGTTTTGCTATAAAAAGTGTCTATATATCTATTATAGTTTTCAAGATAATATCCAAAAACACTAAATGATAATTTCAGCCGATAGACTTATTTGTAGATCTTGTTTTGCTGATCATTATGGCTTTTGAAGTTTTTGTCTATCTATCATAGTTTTTAAGATACAAAGACAAAAAAGCAAAAATTGTCATTAAGGGGTAATAACTCCAATAAGGAGTTATCTGACGATTACCAATATGCTAACTTATTTGTAGATCTTGTATTGCTGATCAATTTTGCTGTTTAATGTTTCTTTCTATCTATATATTATAGTTTTCAAGATAATAGGCAAACACACTAAAAATTAAAAAAAATCGTCATTGAAAAAAGCAATAACTCCAATTTGTAGATCTTGTTTTTATCATTCAAGATAATTTGCAGAAATGGGGGAAATAAATGGTAAAATTCGTCATTAAAGGGTAATAACTCATATAAGAAGTAATGTTGTCTGACAGTTTAGACGTAAATGGACAGTAGGTAGATCTCAACATTCTGATCATTTCTGCCACTGTCAGATTTTCTCTATATACTAGTATATCGGTTTTTAAGATAATAGACAAAACTTGCATTTTACCCTTATGTCCAATTTTTAGTCTTGTTTGCCATGTTGGTCAGAAGGCGTAGCAATCGGATACATTTGTAAACTAAATACCCCAACGATGATTGTGGCCAAGTTTGGGTAAATTTGGCCCTGTGGTTTCAGAGAAGATTTATGTTAGAGTTAACGGACGACGACGAGGGGTGCTAAGTAATGAGAAAAATGCACTTGGCCCTTTGAGCTAGGTGAGCTAAATCAGTTGAAAAAGTCTTGACTAATCAGATCAACGAACAAAAAGAAATATCACTCCATTTTCTATATATATGTATAAGCGCAGATTTCAGTATCTATTAATGCTACTGTAGTTCAAGTTTCCTAATGGGAGATGTATTTACCTTATCAGAGTGGCTAAACACAACTCAGATCATTGGGAAATAAAATGATTTTACAAGTATTCACATAATTTGTAAATAAAAACCAAGATCAATTCATAAAAATAAATATTTAATAAAAGGTTTCATAAACATACACACTTACATTCAACTCACAGATGTCACCTCTCTCTACCTTTCTCCTCAATAAACACTCATACTCATACAGATACAAAAAATCAAGCCACAGTCTGTCGATCAGTCCACCGACGCATATTCTCACACTTCTCACACAGACATATTCTCGCACACTCAAAACAAAAATATGTCCTCAATGTCCATGATGTCTCACAGGGACAAGTATACTCTCACTCTATATATCACACACACCCACACACATATACGCCTACATATCAACAATGAAGCACGTGTTGTTTTAATCCATCCATAATAAAGTCAACATCTAATCAAAGTTTATTTTCACTTCGTGATTTAAGAGGATTTCCAAAAGAATCCCCATCTCTTTTGATTCCATGGGTTTGTCTTATACCACCCGAAGGCAACGTCCGACTCGTCTGTGGCGACCTTCAACTTTACGACCATCCCTGAAAGAAAACAATCAAGATTTTTGTTTAACCTTGCATTCCCTGAACTGGTGAAAGTTTTAAAAAAAAATGATGATAGAGGGAGGAGTGTATTGTTTACCCGTTTGAAATATGAAACAAAATGAAAGACAATTTCCTCTGGATTTATACTCTTTATTCCCTTCTAAATTTTAGTTTCTTCTGCCTCTTATTTATATCATAGTGATATAAAATTTATATTATTTTATTGTTCTTCTTTCTTTTTGTCTCCTAGTTGTCTCTTTTTTCTGTTTCTTGTTGTGTTCTTTGATTGCTGTTTCATTGGTGTATTCCTCCAACATATTTTTATTTACAAATGTATATATGTTTACACTTATTCTCATTGTTTTTGGCATGGGTTCTATTTTGAGAGACATTTGTCAAAACAAGAAACTGGTTCATGGCATTGGCATCGTATAATGTTATCATGACTGTATCTTCTGTCGTTTGTTTCTCCTCTCTATATACTATATTCGAAACCATCGTTATGACTTACCTTCTGTAATTTTGACACAGCATTTGTTTGTTTTCTCTGATAAGTCTTTTGTATTCACATAAGTGTTGATTAAAAAATTGAACTGGTTGTCTTGGCAACTGACGTCTGCAACACAAAATCGTTATCCCTTTGTTAGTGTTTATCATTTAAAAAAAAAGGCAAATTGTAGCACAAGCATATTGTAGTTGCAACCGTATGTCAATTATGGCTTAAGTATCTTGTTTTTTTTTGTATTTGCAGTCGTATATCAAGTATGGCTTTAGCATCTTGTTATATATATAAACTTCATATTTCAGTGTTCGATATTCGCTCTGGTGTGTGAAAGAAGTTAATTGTAGAAACTCACCAGCTCTTTATCTTATTACACAAACACGGCCAATACAAATAATGCTACAAAATCATGACTTGTTGGTTTTCCCTTTGATTTGTTTTATATTTTGTAATGTCAGGGCTTATCCTTTAGGTTAGATGTTTATATTTTCGATCTTTAGTCTCTGATGGAAATTGTCTCATTAGCAATAATACCAAATCTCCTTATTTTTTAATGAAAATAATAAATACACAATTAAGCGACTTACTATTATTATTGCGTTGTTCTTTGGTTGTAACAGATGGTTCTTCCTTCATTATATGTTGAGCTCTTTTGTGACTGACAAATTGTATCTCTGGTAGTTTGGTTTTGAATCTGTTTGCATTTCGAAATTCCTACACGAAATTCATCAAAGTAGTCAATATCACAACCACAATTTACAAAACTGTGTTTACTATTAGAATGATAATTGCAAATATATGTGCTGTTCACAATAAACAATAAGAGAAAACAAATTTTCAAGCCTGTTATCCTTTAGTTATAACTGAAGAATATTCTAGTTCCAAGACATTACAACGACAAATGTTCTTAATATTTTCTGTAGGAACATATTTGTTTTTGTCTAGCACGTGACGTAAGAATAATTACCTGTGGTGAACTGAACTGGTATTTGGAGCTAAGTTTATCTATTATTGATTCTGCAGCCAATCGGCAGTCAAAATTGTCAATGTGTGGAAGTAGTTCATAGAATCTACAAGACAAAAAATGGTGAATCCGCAAAAGGGTTTATAAACGTATCAATCAGAACAAGAACTGTTTGTCAGACAATTATTTGATTGTTCTCATAATGTACAAGTGTTACTAATTTAGGTCAGCAACAATATTATCAGTCTAGAAAGACCCAAAATTTCCACACAGAGGACTTCATGTGTTCATTTTATTAGGTAACGATCGTGTATAAGTTCTCTCTCATAAACAGTCACCCCTCTATTTCCTGTTACTTTCAATAATAATTATTACAACATATTCAATAATATCTTACACCAATAACTTACTTGTTCGTTTGTGTTGCTAAGATGTATTTCAGACACACTAGTCCGCTCTGTAAACGCTCTACCAAGTTGAATTGTATATCATCCAATAGTTCCCTTTCGAGCTAGATAACAAACAATAGAAAAATCGTATCAAGACTGAACTATGATAGGCATATACTAAACAAAATTCAAGTTCAGATAAATCGTTATTACAGATTTTTAAAGAGCTATTCTACGCCGTGTTCTTGGAATTTATTGTGTTCTCTTTGTGTGTTAATTTGAATTTGTGGTTTTCTTTGAATAAAAAAAAAAATAAAAACAACTGACAGAAAGTGTGGGTCGACCAATAGTTGAGATTCATGTATAGGAAACGAAAAAATGGTTTATAAGTATTCTGTGCAAATCGATAAAATAGAAAATATCTTGCATTAAAAAACATCTATCATCTACACAACTAAATAATTTCTGAGTCATTTATATTTTCATTGCATTGTAAAACAGTACAATACTAATAATAAAGATTAAAAATTGTACACTGATTTTTAGTTCTTCTGTCAAACTAACCAATCTCAAAGCATTTCTTGTAGTTTGCTCTTTTGTCATCAAAATTGAGTATCTCTTGGCTGTTTCCGCTGCTTTCTCTTTTTTATCAGTTAGTGTAGTCTGCAAATATTCAATGCTGTCATCTTTGGCTTTCAGTTTTGATCTTGATAGTTTGTTCGAATTGAAATATCTTGACAACTCGGCCGTTTTCAAGCATAATTCGTATTTCTCTACTTTACGGTCAGCAGTCCAACAGATCTTTAAATATAAAACAATGTTATATTTAGTTGTTATTACGCCATATAACACAATTCATTTTCTAAACACCAGCTGCATGTGAATAGATTTTCCTAAAAACTGTGGGAAAATGAATATACAAGCTTGATCGATGTTTGTTAAATGGTTTTTAATTGAAAAAAGTATTGATTGCATTTTTGTCTTCAATAAAGAGAGAGGGAGAAACAATACCAGTACATGCAATATTTATTTTATAGCAATTCGAATATCTGACCTAACAATTTTTGCAACCATCGACCCCTCGCCCCCAAAAAAGTAAGTAGGTTTTCAAATGAGTAGATTACGCTGTAAGAATTTACCTCCTGTTGTCTTTGTAGTTCTTTGTATATATATTTATGTGTTTTCATCAGTATATTCATTTCTTCAACCTTTGCATGATATTCCTCAGTTGTTTTCTGATCAAAGCTGAAATATGTACAGCGTTATGAACAACACTCTCGTTAATATAGGGCATAGAAGTCAAAGAACGCTTTTGTGTATTTAAAGTAGAAACCTACTAGCTCATATAGGCATATATAGATTATATTTACAAGAAGAACAAACACTTTGTTTCTGATCTGTGTTATGCAAATATATGTTTAATCAACACTTTCATAAAATGAATGAATTCTGGAAAGCAACCACGAATATATCTTCTCACAATTGCTTCTAGCAAAATTATACACCAGGTTAAACTATAGAGTAATCCGTTTATTTTTTTTAGCTGTCAATCCGTAAAAGGCTTTCATGTATTCAAAACAGAAAGCGCGGTTGTTCTACTTTATATTTGGGTACAAAAAATCTTTTATTATAAACAGGCTACTAATAAAAAATTACTTAGTAACCGACTTCAAAGAAAGTGTATTGTACTTATTCATATTTGTTTTTAATATTTCTGTGAGTTATCTGATTGAAACAACTTACGTTGGTATTGACAGAATGCTGTCAGAGGATGAAACCAGTTTAACGATTTTGTTATGAACCCTTTCTGCAACGGACTTTTTACTACTAGCTGTCTGATCATGTAAGCCGACGACACACAACAACGTCTCAGTCAGTAGATAAAACAACTTGTTTAATTCCGGAAATTCTGGAACGAAAAAAGTTATGCATGCATATAATTAAATAGATATATCGAGTAAACTTTAGAATGTAAGATAGCATGCCAACTATAACGGTTTCCAAAAAAAAAAATGAAGATGCAAATTCACAATATGCTAATAAGAATAAGGAGATGTGGAATGATTGCCAATAAGACAACAATCCAAGCAACAACTAAGGCATAACGAAAAATTCAGAACGATTAATTAAAATTGTTTTCAAATTTATTTATGGTCACTAATCGATCAATCTTCCCAGTTACATTTACTACAAAACAGCTGCGATTGTCTAAAGTATAAATACCATCCACTGTTTCGTCGATATGCACTCTATTGCATGTGCAGCCGCTGATGTGAAAGTTTATGTGGGCGTTTGGAAGGCCAAGTGATGTTTTGTTCGCATTTTGATATTTTCTACCACTAAAATTAACTAACGTTTAACCTTACCCAAATTCTGTCTATAAGTCAGCAACTTCTTCATGGTGCGTTTTATTTGTTGTCTGGGAAATTCGGCTGTTTTAGAATTGAAGTTCACCTCAAGTGTCTCGGTAATTGTGGAGAATACATCAATTCTGAAAAAAATGAGCTCGACATCAAGTTAGGAAACTTACTTATTTGAATTTTCCTTTGGATATGCTAGTTGGATTTTTTAGTTTTAAGACGGTTTCACTTCCGATGATTATGTATCCCCCCCCCCCAAAAAAAAATAAAATAAAAAGAAAGCCATGCAAGATTCATTGGAGGTAATGTGGCAAACAAATAAAATTATACATAACTGCCAAAAATTTTCAACAAAAACAACTTACGTTCTCTGTGAAACTGATGTAATGCTGAAAATATCAGGAAAATAAACACAATTCATTTTCTTTTCTTCGATTCCCTTTGAAAAGACTGCTACTCAGAATTTTCTTGCTGGACTTTCCGTCGTAGTGAGGGAAAGTTAGCCCGGATGTTGGAAAAACGTAACGTCATAATCTGAACGTCTTCTTGTTGGACGTTGGAAAAACAGAAGAAGAGGCAGAACGTCACAGGTAATGTGATTTTTAATTGGTTGGTACCGTGTACAATACTTTTTGAGTGTTTAAAGAAGTAAGTTTCCTCTTTGATAGCTCAATAGTTTAATGTGCATTGGTCAGAAGGATGTTTACTGGTCCAAGCTAAAGCCAATTTACAGAAACCAAGCATTGCTGCAATACAGGAAAATTGCGTAAACCAATAAACGATTTAGATATTTTCAATTCAGCAAAATAATCTGGATTTTTTTAATACCATAAAAAATGTATTCTTATGGGCACACGTATTCATAAGCTTAGGTGGCAATTATTTTATACAGTTCAATTTGAAATGTCAGTAAAATTTGAATTTCATCTAGAGCTTAAATTGAATAATTGGTTAATTAACAACATGTTCGACTATATCTTAGAGACACGGAAATTCACTTTGGTTTCAACAAAGCTGTTGTTGAATTTAAAATTGACGGTACCCATGCACTTGTAAAAAAATTTGTTAACATATTTATGTTATAATACCGAAGAATTCGTCTTCACTTAATTATGAAGTCGTCGAAAAGACAGGTCCGTTTAAATTCTGCTCTCTGTGTATTTAACACTATGTACTTTTTTCAATGAACAGAATGTAGTCAAAAAACTTATCTAAGAAGGAAAATTGCGAGTTCGTTTGGTGTTCTTGTTGTGGTATAATATTTTTGTTGTTTTTATTTTTGTCTCTTTTTTCCGTAATTTTACATTTATGTTTTAGATTTTAAAAACAAAACAAAATACTTGATAGGTGACTCGAGAAACACACCCCCCCCCCCTTTTCAGTCTCACCTTTAAATTACATCAGTCTTTATACCGCTTGATTCATTGTCGAATATGTTTGCCTACAAACTGCGTGCTCTCTATTACCGAGATATATCCACGAAGGACGGGAAAAGCAATCGTTTGCCGAGCGAAATGGAGCGCAATTTGCATAATCTTAATTAAGTACATGTGTATTTCATATTAGTCTTCAAATTTTAATGAGTTTCATCAACTGTATCCGCTTTCGAAACCGCAAATTATAAACAAACAGAATACAAACGTACCTGGACGCATAATTCTGACTCCGAGTCGACCAGTCTTTGCCTTTACTAAACCGTTAACCCTCAATCTGTAACTCAGCATTATGCACTGAACTTCATGCGAAAACTCAGCAGAGGGCACGTCTGATACAATAAAGAACATTTTGGAAGCCAAATACATTTGTGAGCAACAAAACAGATTTTTGTTATGATATATGTAAAATATGAGATAACAAGTCTGTTTCGACAAGTGCTGTCGACATGAAATTAAGAAGATGTGATACGATTGCCAATGAGACAACTCTCCACCAGAAAGGTCACCGTCCGGCCTTCATCAATGAGCAAAAACTGTATATCAAGCTAAATAAAAGGCCCCGAACAAATGTAGCAATTCAAATGAGAAAACTAGCGGCCTGATTTATGTACAAAACAGTAAATGAAAAACAAATATTATATACAGCAACAAACAACAACCACTAGATTATGAACAGGCTGCTGACTTGGGATCATGTTTCCTAACGCCAAAACCTCTCCCTAACTGACCTGGGACAGTGGTGTAACAGTACAACATAAGAACAAACTATAAAAAAATACTGAGTTGCATGAACATGTCCGTCATTCCGAAAGCTAACAGTTGTTGTCTAGAATTTTTCTTTATGTCTGCAGATATTGTTTAGTTTTAAGCGTTAAATGACTTCATACGGAATTACGACCCTTTGACTTTAAATTCCAGGAAAATTGTACTCATCGGGCCTTTTGTGTAATTCCTTCAGATCTTTATTTATACCCATCACAAAAATAACCAGAAGTTGAGGATGAATATGTTTTGTTTTTTGTTGAATTGGTAAATTATTAAATAAATAACGAATTGAACAACAACAAAATTTTCAATATTTTAATTTCATTTTATTTTGTATATTACCAAGGCTTTTCAGCATCATTTTGAGCATGGCGATTCAGTCTCTATTTTTTTAAATAAAACCTTTATTAATACATTAAACAATCTGGGTCTCACTAATTAGCGTCAAGTTTGTTAAATGAATTAATAAAGGTTTTATTTAAAATATTGGTGGTCTTTTTCGTAGACACTAAGTTAATCATTTCAGCATGTTCAGAGACATATGATACAATATCATATGTCTCTAATCATTTCTATAGTAAAAACTCTCCTTTAATACGTTTTTTGAGCTGGTATTATAGACGGTCCAAGGTGACAAATAGACGGTCCGAGTTGACTTATTTGACAGTCCGAGTTGTCTTTGTAGACGGTCCGATATGTTTTCGGGCCGAGTTGTCCATCCAAACACACCTAAAGTTGCACGCGTTTTTCTCCCCGTACCTATTTTTCTCTACATTCTGAACTCGTCATGGCAAGCCCAAACAAACCCAAGGTATTGTATCAACAAGGACATATAAAAACCATTGTTTTTCTACGTCTCTGGTAACAGCATTAGTTTTAATTGGCGCATGTTCCTTTCTGATTTGTAAGTTTTTATAACCTGGGTTACAGAGCCCCACATTATATTATTACAAATTTGTTTTTTTCCCCACCATGTTTTATTAATCTGTTAATTAAGTGAAGTATTTTTTCATTTGCATCATCAATTCCAATTCAACCTCCAGACAAAGATTGAATTGGGGTTTTTCACCACCAAGCTCCTAAATATTTGGGCTTTTACACCAAAACATTCCTGTTGGTGCTGTACTAATAGTAATTACGTTTTTGTCAAACCATTTGTAAGTGTTCTCCAAAAGCAAATAATGTGGTATGGTGTATGAACTGGTGTCTGTTGTTTAAAGGGGATACAAATTTTGATTACGGGCAAATGATTTAAAAATTCAAAACAGGGACCCAGATCAGCTATTTGATCAGGTCTCAGTAGATTTCCAGAAATTTCCCAAAAAAAGATGAATTATGTGACAACAATTTATCAACTTGAGTAAATTACACACTCAGCAGCAGCTGCTAAAAGGGTTGAGAATCAACATGTAATTAGGTTCTCAGGAGACTTCAGAAGTCTATGCAATGTTTTGATCAATACAACATGGTCTGTTTTAAAACATCAACTTCTTCTTCCGGGTAAGGAACCGGATTCAATATTTGAATGTACATAGTTCCCCGCGAAAAACTTTGGGCACTGTCGGGCAACACAGAAAGTTCTCTCTTGGCTATTTACATTTAAAATATTCGCAATATTTTAACAATTAAAACTATGTACATATCGGTGTTGCCTATTTCATTTCAGAGCATGCCTTCAAGGCAGCTCTGAATCCTTTAACTGTGTTGGCTGATGATATTGATATTAGTAGGTTATTCCAATCCCTGATGGTCCTTGGGAAGAAAGATTGGCCGTAGGCATCTGTACTGGTTCTTTCTTGGTAGAAGCGGTTTTAACCTCTGGTCCGGTTATCGTTTGGAATCAAATATTATTGACAATCTAGGTCTATATTAGATCATGCAGGATCTTGAATAGCATGCATAATCTCTTTTTTTGCTCCACCTAGGGGCATTATGTTTTTCGGTCTGTCCATCTGTCTGTCTGTCCCGTTTCAGTTTTTGGTCAATGTAGTTTTTGATGAAATTGAAGTCCAATCAACTTGAAAAAACTTAGTACACATGTTTCCTATGATATGATCTTTCTAATTTTAATGCCAAATTAGAGTTTAGACCCCAATTTCACGGTCCACTGAACATAGAAAATGATGGCGCAAGTGGGCAGGTTAAAGTATTTAGTCAAGGTAGTTTTTGATGAATTTGAAGTCCAATCAACTTGAAACTTAGTACACATGTTCCCTATGATATGATCTTTCAAATTTTAATGCCAAATTAGAGTTTTGACCCCTATTTCATGGTCCACTGAACATAGAAAATGATAGTGCGAGTGGGGCATCTGTGTACTATGGACACATTCTTGTTTTT